TTTTTAAAGATATAAGCTCATTCCGATGTTACACTCATCGAGAGCTTTCATTTGAGTACCCACATGTATTTTTGATATATTTTTCATATATACATACATGTAATATATATAAATATATGAAAAATTGATGTGGGTACTCAAATGAAAGGTCTCGATGAGTGTAACATCAAGATGAGCTTATATCTTTAAAAATGTCAATAGTTCACGAGATACAAGGTCATTTCTTAATTATGTTATTTAAAGATAAAAATTTATCATATAAATACACTTATTCGTTTAATAATATAGATAATATACCTTCATCGCGATGAATACGACTGAGATAATTAATAAATAAATTATCAGCAGCCATTGACGGATCCTCGCAAGCAGCAGCTCCACCACTGACATCGTGGTCCAGCGTGACAATTAAAATTTGCAAGGAAACATCAACAAGTGGTTCGAGAGAGTCTGTAAACAGCAAGTGATTATAAGGAACCCCGAGTCCCACGGGGTTGTAAGCGCAGACTGTGTTCAAAAGAGAGGTGAACATAGGCAGCGCGTGGTGATTCTCAGTGCTGGTCAGATACTGGATCCACTTGTTCGGAACAAAAGCCGAGTCGTTTGGTGGGTTGTACATGGTCTCGCTGAAGCAGGTCAGCAGCAGCTTCAACAGCTCCGTTCTGTTGGAGTCCAAGTGAGGGTACCTCGGTGGCGAGTGCGCGAACCCAACACCCGCCTCCCAGATGTACTCGCAGCTGTCTATAGACGCCAGGTCTTCGGCTTTCTCTGGACCTGACTTGCGGCCTGAGACCACTGTGAAGTCCGGGCAGAACAGCAGGTCGTTTATCGCGTTTAGTAGCGAGTGAGCTAAAGGTATGCTTTCTTCCTCCGGGTCCTTTCCAGGGAGACTCGACCAGAAGAACCCTTTCCAGTCTGGGTCCTCGAAGATGTATGGCAGCAGTCTTGTTAACAATCGGCAGCAGTTCAATACCGTCGTTTGGTCCCGCTGTGTTCGGCAGCTTGAATCTACCGCTTTTACTAATTTTTCCACTGCTTTGTAACATAGTGTCGCTAAATTTGAAGGAGATTCTTCACGCAAAGTACGTATTTCTGTTGCGGGTATCAATGTAAACACGTCTTGGACATTTGAGACGTTTTCTGACCAAAATTGATCCCAGAAGTCATCATCGCCGACATCAATTACCTGAAAATAATTAATTATTGTTATTTTTACAATTTATTTATTAAATAATATAAAAAAAAAAAAAAAAAAAAAAAAAAATAGCCAAATATCTACGACTTTAATATCAATAAATTATTTATTGTTTCTATACTAAAGTACTACTAATAATAATTCAATACTCTGAATATTATATCAATAATTCAATGCTTCCATTATGCTAAAAATATCAAACTGAAAATTACTAAACAAATTATCAAAAAATTAATTTTTTCAATAATTGTTCATACAAATTAATTTAGCAGATATTTGATAATTTAAAAGATTTTTTTTTACAAGTAAATTGAGGCAAAAATAATGAAAAAAAAAAAAAAAAAATTGACATGTAGAAATTTAAAAAAATTAAAAATGCAATTTTTTTTTAATAATTTTTTCTAGCAAATTTATTTGTTAAAAAAAAAAAATTAAAAAATTATCAGGTGACTGCTAACTTTAATGTCATAAATTAATAACTTTAATTAAAAGAAAAAAAATTACGCGTATGTTACTTTCTGTAGCATTTTTTTCAACAAAGATGTCAACAATCTAACAATCGTCAATTTTTTAATTATATCAAAAAAGCAAACAAAAATATTTAAACAATTATTGAGATAATTTAAAATAATTTAATGGAAATATTTTTCCTTTAAAAATTTTAATTATTTAATATTTTAACTAAAAAAAAATTAATAATCAATAATTAAAATAAAAAAAAACATACTTGTGTTTTAGATGTCAGCTGCACAACAGCTTTACGAAAATTGAGTTTAGTGTCAACATTTCCCATGTTGATAATCAGTCACTATCACTTGATGCGTCTACGTACACAAAGTACTTACGTATGAACTAAAACTGAGTACAGCTGTCAACTAAGAACTATTAAGCTTAATTAATTTACTATCACTAAAGTTAAAATAAAAAGACGGCTTGGGAGCATGTCGTCGTGGCAAATAAAAAATTAAAAACCCATCATCACATATCACATCAAAATCAACATCACAATATTTATAATAATTAATATTAGAGTATTCGCTCGATAATATGTATTTTATTTTGACGTTTGGCGTCGCGGTGACGTTTATTAACTTGAAAAATACAAAGGAGCAAGCTTCTCCAGAGCTTTAGTCACCAGCATTGTGTGTAAGTATTATATATAGTACATAAAAAAAATACAAAGTAAGTACTTATTATTAGTGCACTAATCTCGCAAATTATTGTGATGATAAAATAGAAAAACTGGTTTGCGCATGCGCAAAAATAAATAACAAGTAGATTTTTATTTTATCAGCACTTGATCACATGTTACATCATCACCGTGTAAAAGAGAAAATGGCGGCTGTTCACTGTTAGAGACGTCACGTGACTCACAGACACCATTTTACTACGGACTAGTGTGTAAGTGTGTCGATGATCGGCTTCTGACCGATACACTCGCAATAATTCGAGGTTCAATAATTTCAGATCCTAACCAACAACCGAGTGATTATAAAATTTTTTACATTACTTATTACAATTTAATTGTAAAAAGTTTGAGTTGACTCAAACATGGCATCGTTGACGGGCGTTAGAATTCTCACCCAGAATATCAGCTCGGGTGTTAAAAAATTTTCATTCCTCAACGGAAGGAGATTTGGAGCTGTTGCCAATTTAGCAAGAGCACAGAGGTTCCATTTACAAGCAAATGGTTGTAAGTTTGTTGCACCAGTCTGTTCTCAGGTACTTTTGTTTAAATTATTCTTTATTTTTTTATTTCTTCAATTATGTAATGTCTGGCTGTTGATTTTATTGCAGTCATCAGGGCAACATTGGCTTATCAATTATCTTTCTTTTTATTGATTTTTGGAATTTAAAATTATAGTTGATAGTTTTGCTGACAGAAACCTTCTAGTTTAACTATAAAAATTAATTTTTTTAAACTTTATTTTACATGAAAATAAAGTTAACTGACATCTAAAAATTTTTATGATTTTTTTTATTAAAGAATTATTATAAAAAAATGAAAAAAAAATTTTTTCACTTGTTAAAAACTTCAAAAACTATAAGTGCAATTTTTTAAAAATATTTTTTTGTTCTAATTTAATTATTAAAAAACAATCAAAAAATTAAAAACGTTTAGTATTATCTCCATTTCATTTTTCTAAATTAAAAATAAATTATTATTTATATTTAATAAAATTATTTTATTAAAATCCATTTAAATAATAATTTTAAAAAATTTAATTAATTATTATCAAGCTGGTTTTTCTTAAAAAAAAAAATAGATCCGGAGCTACACAGAGGGGCCGGGGATGAAGAAAAAAACCCCAGTAAATGAAATCGAGCAGCGTGTATTAAAAATCTGCAGAGATTACGACAAAATAACAGCTGATAAGGTCAATAAATAGTAAATTAATACTGAGTAAACGTTTTTTTATGCTACAGGGGCCACGAGTCGAGCAGGCACGATGGTACAGCGGTAGACCACCCTTGACACTCAATGTCATTCGTGAAAGAGTACTCTTGGTCCTCAAACTTTATGACAAAGTTGACCCATCCAAGGTACATGTTAAATAAAACTGTGGCAGCTCGTTTCGTGGCTCGCGTTTGTCAGATTTATAGTTAATTATATTTCTTTGAGTAACTTGAGAAAATCTTACTGAAATTTCCCCCAACAGCTGACTCTGGACTCGCATTTCATGAACGACCTGGGCCTTGACTCCCTGGACCACGTGGAGGTAATTATGGCCGTTGAGGATGAGTTCGGCTTTGAGATCCCGGACATGGATGCCGAGAAACTTATGAAGCCCGGTGATATTGTACGCTACGTCGCAGACAGAGAAGACATCTACGAATAGATAAGCTTCTAAGTCTCCATCGACTAATTATATAATTTTTAATTATTTAAAATTACTTAGTACGTATATCATCATTGTTTTCATTATTTTTTCTGTAAATAGTTGAAAAACGTTTCGCTGTATGAATATTAATAAATATCGATACTACGAAACGATCAGAATACTAATATTATTATTATTATTATTAATTATCAGCCTTTTATACCCATTAATTAAGAAATTACCTTGTATCTTGTGAATTATTGACATTTTTAAAGATATAAGCTCATCCTGATGTTACACTCTTCAAGAGCTTTCATTTGAGTACCCACATGCATTTTTGATATATTTTTCATATATACATATATATGAAAAATTGATGTGACATCGGGATGAGCTTATATCTTTAAAAACGTCAATATTTAAGAGAGTAGAGTCATATAATGACTGCAAGGTTGCTAATAAATAATAACTAAAAAATTAAAGATGATTATTTTTATTCAATTAAAATAGTTTGACAGCTGACATAAAATAAATGACAACATATTGTATTCACAGGACAATATTTGATTATTGATAAAATATATTTAATAATTGAATTAGCTAGCTGATTATCGTACAAGAGATAAATTAGCTGCTGGTAACTGTAAATAAAAATAATTGATTATTAAATGTTATTAATATTATTATTTCACTCAGCTTACAAGTCATAATCTCTTAATATAAATATTTATGCAAAGTATTGAGCCATAATATAACTCCAGATGATTTTTTTATTTTTATTAAATATTTAAAACACACACTTGTCAATTTTACTTAAATTCTAGTCATAAATCTCTGAGTGGAAGCATTTGTTACTTTATTTCATGTCATATTTTTAAAATAATATATAAAGTTTCCGATTAATCTACTTGCCGATTTTGTGCCAATTTTTAGATTTTAAATTAAATTAATAATAAGCAATCACGGCAGTGCATCGTCATTTATTTTGATAATTATATATGACAAAACTTACAGATGCTAACACTTACAGTTGTCACACTTATTATTGCTAGTTTGTTATTTTCAACAAAAAAAAAATAATAATTATTTTTTTTTAATAATTGGCAATTATTTTAAAATATTGAGAGCTTAATTTAGTCTACGAATACCGAGTGACAAATACAATAATAAAAATCAAATTATACTCAATTGGTCATTTAAAAATTCCACCAGCTTTTATTGCAAATTATTTAAAAATTTTATAATAATTATAATTATTGCAATTAAAGCTCGAAGATTTCAGAATAAATTTTATAAAATAAAAATTAACTATTACAATTTAGTCTTACATTTTACATTAAGCTTATATATTTATAATAAATATGTCAATGTTAATAATTATTATTCCTACAAATATTAAATCGTTTATGACATATATATATATATATATATATATATATCAGAGCGTCTTAAACTATTTATTAATATATGCAATTACATATATCCACGTCGGATTTATCGATACATATTTCACTTAATCCTCCAGCACTCACTGGCCATTTTACCCACGCTAAAAAATTTTTTTTTTTCAATTAAAAAATTAAATTAAAATCATATTTTTGGTTGAAAAAGTTTTTTTTAATCAAGTTAATGTTTTTATACCTGATGGAAGAATTTGGATCAAATTGATAAAATTTAATTTTTTAATATTAAATAATTTATTAATAATAAATATTTATCAATTTATCAATTGTTAATAAAAATTTTTTTATTTTCCAAAACAAAAATGGTAATTATTTACAAGTGAAAAATACATAAAAAAAATGAACAATTTAAAAAAAAAAAATATATCAAAAAAAGATAAAATAGAAATTTTATTCAAAAACATGAAAAACAAAATTTTTTCCAATTTTTTTTAGGTAAAAAAGCTATCGAAATCTTTATTTTTTTTTTAACAAGCAGAATGAAAAAAAATTTACAAATGTTAATTTTTCACCTAGATATGGTCAAAAATAATATAAGGTGGATCTTACTTGTAAATAATTACCACATAATTGTTTGATTTTTTGATATTGATAGAAAAATTAACTTGATATAAATAAAATTTAATTGAGTAGAAAAAATATTTAATTAAGAATTTTTATTTTTAATTCAAAAAAATTAAATTAAAATGATCTTTTTGGTTCGATTTATTTTTTTTGAATCAAGTTAAATTTTTTTTAATACTGATAGAAGAATTTGGAAAAAATTAATATATATATATATATATATATATATATATATATATATATAATATTTCATTTAATATCCATGTTAATGTTATGTTGTGATCGATAAATAAAAATTAGCTAAACTCAACCGTCGATTTCAGTGCAAAAAAATAAAAGCCTTGATGTTAATTTATATTTTTAACGGTGTAATTAAAAAGAAATTACGCACGATAAGTTCATATGACGATTTTATATATCAAAATATAAAATCAATCCCTGAGAATGATTTATCGCACCGATCGAAGTCTCTAAATGACGGCCGAGCCACAAAATGCAACCAACAAAGGTTCCCTTTTTATTTATAAATAATTAATTTATCCTGTATATTATTTTTAATTAATAAATTAAATTAATTATTTATAAACAAATTTATTTAATTTAAAATTAAATTATCATTAACCTATCTCGATCATTTCGGTGTCTTCGATTCCGTTGTGCCTGTAATTAAAATTATTTATTAATTATCTGTATTTAAAAAATTATTAAATAGTAATTCTACTTTAATTTCAAAACTTTTTTTAGTTGATAACAATTTTTTCATAAATTTATCAGCTAATTAGTGCATTAAGTAATTACTTAAATATTTCAATACATTTATCAGAGATACCGTTTAAAAATAATAAATTAATAAAATTTTGTTTTATTAAAAAAGGACTTTTGTTAAATTGCATTGTACTTTGTTAACTATTGACATTTATGAAGATATAAACTCATCCTGATGTTACAATCATCAAAAGATGTCATTTGAGTACCCACATGCATTTTTGATATATTTTTCATATATACATATATATAATATATATATATATATATATATATAAATATATGAAAAATTGATGTGGGTACTCAAATGAAAGGTCTTGACGAGTGTAACATCAGGATGAGCTTATATCTTTAAAAATGGCAATAGTTCACAAGATACAAGTCTTTTAATAATATAAATTACCTGTGATGAAGATGAAATTGATTTAGCCGCGGTGAGAAATTTTTGACAGAAGATTTGCGAGGACTCTCGGCCCGGACGATGCGAGGTTGTGCGTAAGTCCCTTCAAGAATACTCGGAGCAACATAAGTGAATCCTTCAAAGAGCCCATCAGCCGAGTCATTAAGTAAAAATTCAACTGGAGAATCAACAGGCAGAGAGCTGGTGAATTTTTTATCAAACTGGGACACGTCATCTTCGCTGGTCAAAGTCGGCTTGAAAGGAACCTTGAGTTTCCGTTGAATAACGTCATTCCAATTAATGTGTCTAAAAAAAATGTGGTTCTTAACTTGCTCGGCGTCTCCAGAACCGGAGCCCAATCTTTGGTGCACTTGTCTCTTCAGCAGCTTCCTAATGAGGTCCCGAGCATCGTGAGTTAAATACTGAGGTAAGGTAAGTTTAGCTTTGAGAATTTTCTCAATAGTCTTTTTGCGATTGTCCGAAGTGAACGGCGGAGCACCGGTCAGCATGTCGTACATCAAAGTCCCAAGACTCCACCAATCAACGGCTTTGCCGTGTCCATTTCGGGTCAGAATTTCTGGAGCCATGTACTCGATAGTGCCGCAGAAGGTGTGAGTCACAGAGCCGTCTTGAATGTGCTCCTTGCAGAGCCCGAAGTCCGTCAGCTTGATATGTCCCTCGACATCCAGCAGAATGTTCTCCGGCTTGAGGTCCCGGTAGATTATTCCCTGCTGGTGCAGGTGCTGAAGCGCTAGAATTATTTCGCACAAATAAAAACAGACCGTCTCCTCGAGGAAGATCCCCTCGTCGTTCAAGTGCCGAAACAGCTCTCCGCCGCACATGTACTCGAGAATTAAATACAACTTCTCGCCAGTTTGAAAGGCGTACATCAAGTCGACTATGAAAGGATGCTTTACAGCCTCCAGGATGTTCCGCTCAGCCTTGGTGTGGGCAGTGTCCTTCTGGTTGCGAATTATTGAAGCCTTTCTCAGTACCTATCGATATTATTTTATTTTTTAATTTATGTTGCTTGCTACTCCTGATCAATACTCTATTTTTACACTCACCTTCATCGCGAAAATTGTACCAGCGTCGTTACCGGTTATTTTTCGGACTTGGAACACTTTTCCGTACCCGCCCTTACCTATAACCTTGCATAACTCGAAATCTTGCGGTCCGGCTCGCTCTCGTCCACGATTGACGCTCTGTTCTGAAAGAGGTACATTCTCTACGCCATCGGCTCTGTAAAATATACATAATTAAGAAATGACCTTGTATCTTGTGAACCATTAACATTTTTAATGATATAAGCTTATCCTGATGTTACACTCATCAAGACCTTTCATTTGAGTACCCACATCAACTTTTCATATATTTTATATATATATGAAAAATATATCAAAAATGCATGTGGGTACTCAAATGAAAGCTCTTGACGAGTGTAACATCGAGATGAGCTTATATCTTTAAAAATGTCAATATTTAATAAAGTACAGTGTAATTTATCAAAAGTCATTATTTAAGAAAACAAAATTTTATTTTTTAAAAAATAATTCAATTTGGAGTGAAAAAAAAATAAGATTCAAAATTTTCTTCTCAATATTTAATTACTTTTCTTGTTAATTATTTCATAATAATTAAATAAACTAAACAGCTTATTATTACGTTTAAAATGAGGTTCAGTTATCTAAGAATTCATTAATAATAAATTCCAAACATTCCAATAGCACACAATATACCAAAGTTTACATTAATGAGGCTTGAGTAGTTTACTTTCACAATGTGAGACTACAGCAAAATAAACAAGAGCTAAACCACTGAATAAAGGCTACAATCGATTGAAAATAAATAAAAAAATAAAATACTCACTCTATAAATTCATTAACATTCGGATCAGCGTTGTACTCGTCCTGCGATAAAAAATAAGACATAAAACTTGTGTACAAAAAGAAATGCCAAGTTTATACTTGATAAAAGATAATTACCTCATTTATTTCAATAATCTCATCGTCAGATTCTTCTTCATTTATTTTGTTATCAACATCGTGCAATTCGATGTCGAAAATCGCGGCCATTCTTGCAACCACGCTGCTATGGAGCCCGAGTAAAATAAATGTCCCGAAGAAATATTACAGACGAAGAATATCAGTGAAACTTCAGTCCGTTGTGTTTACACCAAGCCATTGGACACTGAAAAAAACAACATGTATATATTATAAGAGATCATAAGCACGATATGATAAGATTTCTCGGAGCAAGATCAACCACAGCGAAGTATACTGAGTATAAAAAAAAAAAAAAAAACTAAACTCTAAAGCATATTTTATTAGTCATACTCACGCATATTGCATTTGCCGTTTCCGTTTGACCCTCGTCACCTTTTACGTCAATGGCATTTACGTTTTTTCTTTTTTTTTTTTTTTTTTCGACTCACCAGCCACCGCAAGAGGATTGTTGTATATAGCTTGTAATTAACAGCTGGGATATATTAGCTTTGAAAAATTTCGACACTCGGGAGTCGAGATGGAGCGCAGCCTTGATACACTTAGCTCCGACTTTTCCCAAACTTTGCTCAACTTAAATTCCTGGATTTCCCCAGCAATTTGCCATTCACAAGCTACAGCTACTGCAACTGGCTAATAACTTAATTAATGCCAGCTAGTGACTCCAGAAAACTATAAAAGGACCTTCACTAATGTAACAATTTAATAATAATATTTCTCCAGTCTCTCTGGGAGCTATGGGAGCTACACAAAGACTACAGCGACATTACCTTGCATTAGTAACGATAAGAAACTCCATCAAGCGCCATCTTGTGGACGTTTATTCACGCCGACAAGTAAGACTACTTCTGTCTTATTTAAATGATTTATTATTTTAAATACTAATTAATAATTAATACGGTTACATGTTACACCAAGGTCATGACTAGTTTCATTTAAATATATGCTAATTTTTTATATACTTCTTTTTTTTTTAGACTAAATTGTTTTAGAATTAAAATATTCAAAGATGGCCGACAGGTTTTTTGTATCAGTAAAAGTAAGCTGGCAACTTTTATATACTTAATGATTTTTAATATTTTTAATTTGCATATTGCTGATGTGAAATATTTTTAGTGAATTTATTATTATCTATTACTCAAGAGCTTTTTTAATTTTATTAAAGTTTTTTATTAAATTTACTGACAGTAATTTATCAACTAAATATGATTATGTGTCAGTTTGTGTTGTGTTAATGTGACAGTGTTATAAACATTTTAATGAAACCTGAAATACTTTAATTTTATTCAGGTAAGAATTCAATTTTTTTTTTTTTTTTTATAAAATACTTTAGCAATTTTTATAATAACAATAGAACATTTCTATTATCATTATTTATCTTTTACAACCAAAAACAAAAGCGGTTTATGTTGTCGTGGCAAGTGCTGCTGTCAACGGAGAACAAGCACAATTTATAAGTGGGTGTTTACGTTTTTCTGATAAGTGTCTCAGTCAAATAATCTCGATCTCGTTGATAAGCAGTGATTTTTAAGTAATTATTATTAAAAAAAAATGGTCGTGAAGCACCACGTTGAGGGCTACGAGAATTTTCTCTCGTTGATGGAAAACCTGAAAGCCGATGGTCCAATTATTGTTCTTTACAGTGGAAGCAAGCTTGAGAATGGTCTTAGCTGGTGCTCGGATTGCGTGGAAGGTATTGTTGGTAATTAGCTTTAATCTTGGACAATTAATCGGTCTCATAAATTTATAGCTGCGCCGGCTATCGAGGAAGGATTGACAGCTGCGCCGGAGTCTGCTCATATAGTCCATGTAGAAGTTGGTGACCGTGCTTAGTAAGATTTATTTTTTTTTTTTAAATTATCCAAATTTTTTGACAGGATTCCAAAATCATCATTAGTATGAATGAAAATTAAATTAGCCGACATTTAAAAATTTTTAGATTTTTTTTTTTTTTATTGAAAAAATTATTTTAAAAAAATGTCACTTGTAAAAAACTTCAAAAGCTGTAAGTGAGATTTTTTAAAAATATTTTTTTTTTTTTTTAATTTAATTATTAAAAAAAAATCAAATAATTAAAAACGTCGGCTAACTTTATTTAGTATCTAAATCCTCGTTGCAGTTGGAAAGACTTTAAGTGTCCGTTCCGTACTAACCCGAAGACAAAGTTGAATGTTCTGCCGACGATGGCGCTCTGGGGAACACCGAAGCGCCTGGAAGGCGACCATCTTCTCAAGCCCGAGCTGGTTAAGATGCTAGTTACAAACGAGGATGATTAGCATGACTAATAATCAATAAATCTTTGATAAAAAAATTCCTTCAATCATTTATTCAATAAATTGTATAAAGAATAATAGAAATAAAGTTTTGTAATTTTATAAAACTTAATATTTGCTTAATATTTACAACCCAATACAATAATATAAAATTTGTACCATTTAAGACCATTTTACGAATCACGGAGCGCTATTTCTTGTAAATTTTCATTCGGTTCTTCTATCCGAATGTTGTAGAAGATTTTCTTGTTCCTCATCAAGCTGTAGCTGTTGTCGAAGACAATCGAGTCTAAAATCAAACAGACATTAGCGATATTTAGTCAATTCAAGGGAATAATTATACTTACATGTTGAAAAATCTTCACAAGTTAGGACACCAACTTCCTCAAGCTGGTGAGCAGCCACGCGGTGAACAGGAACCACTTCAATTTTTTCTCCAGAGTTATTATTTTGTTTGACAATTCCAAACTTTATATCGTGATCTTCTGTTTTAAATTCCCAGCTCAAGATTGATCCTAATTTCTCTGGAGTTAGTTCGATCTTGAACTTGTCTCCTTTGCGGACGATAGTTGTCTTGAAGTCCTCTTTGTGCATGTCGTTTTTATTGACGTAGAGGTCTTTGGGTACTTTGCCGCCTTGGCAGATCTAGGCAATAATATTTGTAAGAGAAAGTTTTATTGAATTATACGAAGCTAAGATAAAAGATAGATTACTTTGGTCGTAAGTCGAGGATTTCCATCAGGATCTGTCAAAGTACCTCCGAAGTGAGCCGGCAATTGATCCTTGTTGACTACTTTTAGAATAGCGTTCTTCCATCTGGGAGGATCGGCTTTGTAGATCTGGATTTTGGAGATGGTATACTCGTTCATAAACTTCTTGGCGATCGAAAAGGCAAATGCGAAAACCTTGGGCGCTGTATTAGCAAACATTATTTCGTAATTTATATTTATATTCGTTTTACGAAATTAGCAAAATATCACTTTTATTTCTAAATATCTACCATTAATAATGAAACAGGTTTTTAGTATCTCTGGATAATTTGCCTCATACATTTGTATCAGGGTTATGATCACCTCGCCAGCTTAAATTAACATTTTATTTATTTATTTCAATTCGGTTAAATTACCATTTGGACTTTTGACTACTCACCAGGTCTCCACATAAGAGGTCTTAGATTGAATCCTTCCATATCAAAAATTACAGTCACCTGACTTGCACCTGGGCCGTGTTTCTTCCCCTGCTCGTTGCACAATTTTAAATAATGCTCCAGAGTTTTTATTGTTGCCTTAATCATGTCACGTCTTGGAACCACGTGAAGGATTCCGTATAAATCAAGTCCGCTGAATGGAACAATCACCACTGGAATAATTTTATTTTTTATAATATTGACTTTGAAAATAATTCAGCAATTAATTACCTGGTGATTGTTCTTTATCAAACCCACAAAGCCCATGAGGAAGACCGTCCTTTACAACAGCCGGCTCTTCCCACTCATTAAGCTTATCAACGTCCCATTTTTTTCGCCATTCCAGTGACTGAATTTACCAACAAAACAAAAGCAATTATTATTTATTATAATATTACTACTAACAGAGAAATTGGAAGTGTAAAATTTTCAATTGTTGCCAATTTGTCTCGCTAAATTTAAACTTACGTCTCTTAGCATTTTTTCCGCAGCAACGGGGTCCCATTTTCTTGCTGCAATAAGATAAAAAAAAAAAAAAAACTTAGACATTATAAATGATATAAATTTATAAATAATTACCTCGAAGCCAGCGCAGTAAAAATTGGTCATCATGATGAGGCTCTAGGATCGCTTGAACGCTGCGCCTGAACTGAAAAAATTGAACAAAAAATAGCTAATAGGTGAGAGTAGATATTCAAAACTATTATTAAATATTTTTATTGACTAAGTCAGCAAACGAGCTGTGAAAGTTTTGCAATTTTTATTTATTATTTATAAAAAAAAAAAAAAAAAAAAAAAAAAAAAAAAAGTGTTGCAACTGCTTTACAGTTTGTGAACAAAAGAATTCTTTTAATGTGCGCATTAAATAACCAGTGCCGTTATTTACATTTAAACGCTTAAGTTAAGTAATTAAAGATAATTTTTTAATTATAATTTCATACTATTCAAATCGAATTTTTTTTTTTTTTTTAAATAGACGATTGACTGATACCGACAGGACTTTCGCTCATTTGTTGAACTAAGAAAGGATTCATCAAAAAATGTTTATCCGGAAATCACTTTCTCCTTAAGCCTTAAATTATTAAATTAAATTACACTCAGAAACTAATATTATTTTACGTAAATCCTATCTCCGTAATTACACTATCATATATATAATATATGTTATACATATATATTAGATCAGCTTCAGGATAACCTGAAATGTTAATTTAGTTTAATGTGTGTGTTCAGACCAACAAAACACAAGTCACACTGACTAAATAAAACAAAATAAACATTGTTAAGCCACGGACAATTTACCCCGGTAATAGTTTTCATTATGTACCCCATTCAAATATTGTTTCATCTTTAAAAACAAGATAACGCTATTGTTCCGCTTTTAAATGCCGTTTACTCTATCAAGATTACTTGCAGACTGATAAAATCAAAAAAAAAAAAAAAATACATGAAGATTTTATTAATTATCATTATGCTAATTTTTGTCTTTAATCAATGGAGCGTGTAAGCTTTCAGTTTAAGTCTATTGAAATTAATTCTAATTCAATATTTAGATTAATTTTTTTGACGGCCTTCAATTTTCATAAATTTGTTTTTATATAATGTTAATATTCTTCGGAATTATTTTATTTGATTAGCTTAACATACTTTTTACAAGTAAATATACGGAAGAAAATATAATTGTTAACTGCGGTGTTTTTTCCGCATTACGCTGTTTACTTTTTATGATACTAAGTATTAGAAAATTATTAATCTAGCTAAAGATTTTTTTTTTCTTAATCTTATGAAAGAAACTGTATATTAACTGATAGAAAATTTATAAGTTATAATTAAAAGATACTTTCATTGTTTTGGATTAAGAAATTTTGAGAATTTCGAGTTTTATCGCTAAGGACATTTTTTTTTTTTTTTTTTTTGTTTTATTTCATGAATTTTATACTTTATAGTATTTCTCTAATTTGGAATGTTGTATAGTCTAGTGACTAGTTGACCTCAACCCATTTGATGAGTTTTAGGATTTTTCAACAGATAAATAGCGACAAAATAAATTTTACAAGTAAAAACTATTAATGGAATTTTTTAAAAATAACTTTTAGTGGAAATTCAATTCTTCAAATTTGAAACTAAAAATTTTCAATATAAAAAAAAAATCTAAAACAATTATTCTCACATAGTAAGAAAGTATTGTAATAAACAATTTGGCAAGACCTCGACTTCTTTCACCACAATTCAATGAGTATTATTATCGCTTGAATATTAATGAGTGAACACCGTGTGCATATTAAATAAAATTAAAAGTGTGTTGAACTGAAAACCCAATAAGGAAAAAAGTATAATAAGCATATCTATATAAATAAAATAAAAGAAAAACAAATTAAAGACTTTGGACTTACTTTCATCAGCGCAAATCTCTCATCATCTTGCAAAGCTTTCAGTGGACTGCCCATCTTAATTTCAAAAGTAAATAAAACCAACAAATGTTTTACAAATCAATACATTATATTTTTGGTTTCACTTCTGCAAAAGGAAAGGAGGTTACCGATCTGTAATCTGAAAATAATGAAACCTGCAGGAATGCAGCCACCGAACCAGCCCGTACTTATCGTTACTACAACGAAAGCGATTTATATATAAAATCAATAGAATCGAATCGCACTGGTTAGAGATCCAAGAGCGACTGAACGATACCTCGGGTCTTAATCGGGTTCCCGATTTATACGTGTGATTCTCAAGATCCGTTCACTCTCAATTCCTCTACTCTTTTACTCCTTCTTAAGTCTCTCGGACTTAACTCTGAGGCATTGCTTCACCTCACAGCCAACATAATAACATCAGATACCGTACACATGTTTGATAAGTATGAACTTGGCTCGTTTGACACGACCTGGTCATTTTCTTGCTATTTTTTTTTTTTTTTTATTAATCTTCTCTGTGCTAGCATTGCGACGTCAGATCACATGCGCATCATCATCATCATCATCATCATCATCATCATCACAATCATTGTTATTATCATCTAGACAATAATCATTCAAATAGTTAACCAATGCGATATGCTGATAATTTAACAAACTTCAATGCTAGCGGAAATTATGCAGTCATGTCAGTCATTTTTACCCACTTCTTATTACTCTCTTGGAATAAACAAACGATACAATTTGCCGTGTTTATTTTTTCAATCCAAAGTTCTCATCTGCTAGATAGATAAAGACCACTTATTAAATTTTAACTGCCAGGCAATTTAAATATTTGACGCTCCCAACGTCCCAGCTGTTATAATACTAATACAGTGTGATTTAAGAATTAAAACGTATGTCGCAGTTTTATTCATACCTACCAACAATGAATATATATATATATATATATTAATCTGTATGTGTATAAATAATGTAAGAGATACTTACTCAACAACTCAGTCGGGTCTCTTGCTCTTTCAGTCTCAAGACTCAATTCTCAATACTAAACGTTATTTGTGTTAATGTTGTTTATACATATGTGACTTTACGGTACAATTACAATGTCGCTGCACTCAGTTTCGTTTGAGCTTTCAATGTGAATTGTTCATTTTTTATTTTATTAATTTTTAGATTAAAAATTAGCTGGAATTTTTAATTTTTGTCAGTTCTATGAATAATATTATTAAAATGGATACGCTTGTGTTTAAAGTGATAATTGAGGTATTGTTTACATTTATTTTTGAAAAAAATTAATTACCTTTTTCATGGTCAAGTTCCTTGATGCCAAATGTCAGTTGATTTCTTCAGAAGAAAATTTTAATAGATTATTAAAATTTTATCATTTTATGATGAGATAAATTGAAAAAATTCCATTGGAATTTAAAAAATATATTATTTGTTAATAATTGTCAGATGTCTGGTTTCAGTATCAACTTATCATTGTCTAAAAACCGGCTTACTCACGTAACCATTGGCAATCTTTAAATGTGAGCGATGTTGTTTTATAAAAATAGATTCTAACGAGACACTGCAGGTGGGTTGATTGCTTGATTCTCATGAATCTTAATAAATGCATTGATAAATCTGAAACAAAGACAATTATTGATATTTATTTAGAAAAATTAATAACTAACATGAATACCACAGTTATAATTACTGTGATGAAGTAGTAAATTACCCATGACCCAGAATAAAAATTCAAGGCTATGTTAAGTGTCTAAACTTAGAATTTTAAAAAAAGGTACAAGTGACATATAAAAATTAAAATTTTAGAAAACGAGTATAATAATGATAATATATGAAAATTTTAATAATTTTATAACAAATAAATTATGACAAAAAAAAAAAAATTGACAAGTAGAAATTTTAAAAAAGAAGAAATGCAATTTTAAAAAAATATTTAAATATTTTTGTTAAATAAAATTAAAAAATTATCAAGTGACTGATAATTTAAATATCATTTATAATATCTTAAAAAAAAATTTTAATTAACAAAGAAATTGAAGAATAAATTTTAGAAGAAGAAATAAAAATTTGTAGACACCAAAAATTAATGAAATCAGCTGTCTGTAATTTAAGTGTTAGACGTTTGACGTTCAAGAATAGTTCAAGAATTACATGTGTAATTATGACAATCAAGATAGCCAATAAAATAGTAGTTTATTGTTTTGTCAGCAGCATCCTTCTGTTGATTCACACACCAACACGCCAGCCTAATGTCTGTATGGTCGACAAGCACCGGACGCAATTCAGTGTTTGGTGCCGAGGGTGGACCAACGACCTTAGCTTCCACTCATCCAACGATTCCAATTGACGCTCATTCCCACTCTCATCTTCACACCACCGAGGGTCACTGTTTCAACAAACGTTTTTACAAGTGTCAGGTAAAATTATAAGTTAAAAATTAAAAAAACAATTTTTATAAATTACAAGAATAAATTTATAAATACTCACTATTTTTATCCACCGGCTTTTGGGCTTGTTACATCTTTTTGGCTTTCTGGCACCTGCTTCAAGCAATTTATCACTCATTTTTATTTATATATATATAAATCAAAAAGTTCTTTATTTATTTTTCAAAGCTGTCTTAATTTCTTGACTTCACAGGCCTCAGTTATTATTACAATTACAATAAAATTATATTTTTACATATTGTTATTATTATTCTGTTTGGTTCAGCACCAATTGGTTTTTTTTTTCACCGCAAGGAATTGCAATCAAGTGCTCGTTGCTCCGTTGGCTACATCGTTAATTGGTATGTTTTGCTACCTTAAACAATAAAATAGCTTTTTTTTTTTCAATAGAATCCCACTTCCCCAGCACCGGGTTATGATTTTACTTTTCTAACCACAGCCGCTGTGCCACCCGTAACTAATAATTATTAAGTAATATTACATACAGATTATCAAACAAATTGTAATAATTAGAGTTACCTTTTATACCTTAGACAACAATGTCGCAGTCCGGAGATGGCCTTCATACGCCGAGTTATCTTTCTTGGAGAAAATTGCAGCTCAGCCGGGCAAAGCTCAAGGCTTCCTCTAAGACCTCGGCGTTACTTTCTGGATTTGCAATGGTAAATTTTAATTATCTTCTTTAATTATTGAGCTTCAATCATTGTCAAATTTTTAAAAAATTATTATAATAGTTTTTAAGTTAAAATAATAAATAACTTTAAAAACTTTGATAATTTTTTTTTGCCATAATTTATTTGTTATAAAATTATTAAATATGCTAAATTAATTTTCATCAGCAATTAAACTTTTTCGAATAAATCTAAAAAATTAAAAATAATTATTAAAATTAAAATAAATTAACAGGTAGCAATGGTAGAAGTGCAACTAAGCACAGAAACAAAAGTGCCTACAGAAATGCTGATAGCATTCGCAGTGTGTACAACACTCCTGGTAGCCGTCCACATGCTTGCGTTGATGATCTCAACGTGTATTCTTCCCAACATAGAGGCCGTCTGCAACCTCCATAGCATAAGTCTGGTCCACGAATCTCCTCACGAGCGTCTCCACTGGTACATCGAGGTAGCCTGGGCCTTCTCGACGCTCCTGGGACTTATTTTATTCCTAATAGAAATCGCAATCCTCTGCTGGGTTAAATTCTATGACTTTTCTGAAGTCGCGGCTTGGTCTGCTTGCGTGGTCCTGATTCCCGTGCTGGTTGTCTTCCTGGCATTCGCGGTTCACTTTTATCGCAGCCTCGTCGCTCATAAGTACGAAGTCACGGTTTCGGGGATTCGCGAGCTAGAGTTACTTAAAGAGCAAATAGAGTCTACTGACATCGAAGGAAGAAATGGCAGTATGCTCCAATCTACCACGCATATTGTATGATTTTTAATTAAAATTGATTTATTAATTTTAAGTGGATCTAATGCACTATTGTTATGTCTTCCAGATGTAAGTAATTATTCCGTCGGTTTATTTTTATTGTAAATATTATTTAATTGATACATTCCTCTTTAAGCGACGTGACTTAAATAATATTTTTTAATTTCAATTAATTTAAACTCTTAGATTAGATTTACTACTACCTCGTTTTGTCTAACTTATTCGCCCTGAAAAATAAAAAAATTGTTTTAGTTTAATGTAAGATATATTCATTAATATTAAGGAATTGAGGGGAATTTTTTTTAAATATTGCGTTACTAATGTCAATTTTTTTATGCTCAATTCAAAATAAAAAAAGTAAAACTTGCCATTTATATAATATAATATTATATCTGATGTCCGAGAGTAAAAAGTTATGTTTAATTTAAGTTATGACATTGCTTAATTTAATGATGTAGTAAATTAAAAAATGGTGTCTGACAATAAAATCAGCTGTATCCTAAATGGGGATATAAATTTTGAATCATAAAAATATACGATGGACAGCTCTCTGAATTAATATTGATTAAATTTATATACTTTATTGTGAAAATTATTTTAAATAAAAAATTTAAAGAAGAAATAATTTTAATTATTGTTATATTTCTTCAGAAATTATTAAGCTAAACAATGACAGTAATTTTAGGTTAGTTTTTCAAAAACAATAAAATATAACCTAACAATCTCATAAAATCAAACAATTTAAAATGATGAAGAAAAATTTTTATGACATTAGTATATAACGCGAATTAATTACTAAATTACCAATTTGGGAATTGGATACGGCGAAGGTTGAAGCGCTGATTGACGCCAGTAAATATCTTCAATAGTGCTACTCGCACAAGTGTCATTAATCCAGTATCCTTTTTGCATTTGTCCCGTTTTCAAGTGATAGAATATTCCGTCGCCATGTTTTCTTCCCTGGATAAATTTTCCTTGGTATCGGTTCCCGTTATCTGTAAGAAGAATATATAAATTAGCAATGAAAGTAACCTAGAAATATTTATTAGGACCTTTTATTATCATTCCGTCGCCGTGGTAAGAGCCGTCTTTCCAGTTGCCTTGATAAAAGCTACCGTTTTTGTACCAAATTCTTCCGAATCCATGTTTTTTGTCCGCGAAAAAATCTCCCTCGTAGTAATAATTATTAGTCCAGAGCCCACCGAATCCTTGTTTCTTCCCGAAGACAAAAGTCCCGTTGTAATACTTTTCTGAGAATCCGTTTTTGTAAATTTTTGATATAACCCCAAAGCCGTGCGGTTTGTTTGACAATGATTGGCCTTCGTATTGCAAATAATAAGACTTGGACTTGGTTGGTTCTCTAATTAAAATTTTTATAAAATTCAGTTGGTAAAATGTTAATTATTTTATTATTATTATTATTATTATTATTATAGATATAGAATAATCAATTATTAATAATTTGTAAATGTAATATTGAATTGTAAGAAAAATAAATAATTTTAAGTACTTAATCAATTTTATCCATTTTAATTTTATCCCACTTTTTTCAGATTTTAGTTTTCCATTTATTAAAATTTTAGTTTCTTCAAAAGCCATGAAGAAATATAAAATTATTAAATTAAGAATATTGTAAGCGATTTATTATAAATTTTAGGTTTAAAATTAACAAATGAATCATATTTTTAAACATTTAAAATAAACTCGAGACTTTAATAAGTTCAATTTATAAAAATTGATCTCGCTTACGGCAACATCAGCTCATCAATTTATTATTAATTATTTCTTTAATGTAATATTAATTTACATTTATTAAAAAAAAAAAATAATTTGATAAGAATAATGATAATATTAAAAGGAATTTTAATATTGCTTTTGGTGTCAAGATCGACATTCTTTAAGGTCCCCTTTAGCTTTATACTAAATACCAAATAGAGAAGGAATTTAATATTATTCTCCGTCATCTCGTGGTTCGCATACTTTTATCATCAGCTCTACCTCAATTCTATTGTTAAATATTCTTTTATTTTTATACCAAAATTATCCTATTAATTTAAAATAAATAAATAAATAAATAATATTTATTTATTAATAATAATTTAACATATAAATTTAATTCAACTATTTTTAATTTACAACTCAAATTTATTAATATGAATAAAAAAATTAATTTTTTATTCAATAAATAAAATATCTTTATTATCTTCATTATTCAATAATGATTTGTAAAAAAAAAAGGGTGCATAAGAAAAGAAGAAAGATATACGAGTTTGCGCGTGCTCTTTATATTATTTCTTCAACCCTCCGAGTGTGCGCTTTTAGATGTGCGGTAATTTTTATAATTTTTTACTCTGACAAATATCAAACCGTCCTGTCAACTTCTCGGATTAACATCTAACAGCTAAATTCTAGTGATCAGTGGACAATAAAATTTATCATGAAATTAACTATTTTATTTATATTTATCGGGTCAAGCTTTGCGTACAGAAATGATTTATCCGTTCACTCGTTAGCGCTTGGATCACAATCAACATTATACTGGAGGTATTGTAATTTGTAATATTTTATTTTTAATAAATTAATAATAATAATAATAATAATAATTCTTTAAATAGAGTTGATCCAACAAAGGAGATGATACAATTTGAAATTCATTATACGGGTAAACAAAGTGGATGGTTTGCAGTAGGATTTTCAAATCGTGGAGAATTAACACTTGCTGATTATTGTGTTTTGTGGATTGATTGGCATCTCAAAGTTCACTTTGAAGTAATTTTAACATAGTAATAATTTATATTGTATATTATTATTAATAATTAAATATTGCAGGATGCATGGGCAAATAATAAAGGAATCATTGAAGTTGACAGCTATCAAGATTGCAATGATTTTGCTTGGAAGCGATCAATTCTCAGTAATATGACTAAGTTTTCTTTTACTCGTAAATTAGACACATGCGATGAACGTGATTATATTATTGAGGTAATTACTTGTAATTTTTTATAACTATTAAATTAATATAAAAAAATTTAATAAAAAATTCTTTTTAGAAATTTAAAAAAGTTATTAATACAAATTATTTTTAATAAAATATTTATTAAAAATAATTTATTTGTTAAATAAAAATTTTTTTGTATAATTAATTTTTAATTAGATTTTTTTTTTTAGTATTTATAAATAATAAATAAAATAAAATTGTTTATATATTTTAGAAAGGAACCACTCACATTGTTTGGTCTAAAGGTACCGGACCACTTTCAAATCTCAATGGATTAAATATTATAACCAACGCAATTTCTTTGGGAATGTCACGGACTGAATTACTTCGTACAGTATCTGATAAACCGCCCGAATTTCCCTCAGATACTTGGAAGTATCAATTACTAACTGATCATGTAAATGTTCCTCAAGTTGAGACAACTTATTGGTGCAGAGTTGAAAAACTTCCGGAAGCTCTAAGACAAAAGTTTGTTTTTTATAATCCTTGATATGTGATAATTTAATTAATTTATCAATATTAATAAATAAAAAATTAATAGGCACCATGTTTTACAATTTGGACCAGTTATACAACCTGGCAATGAACATCTAGTCCATCACATGGAAGTATTTCACTGTGCTGGACCATCTGAAGCTGATATACCTCTGTATAATGGTCCTTGTGATGCTGCTGATCGTCCTCAAACAACTCAGGTCTTAATTATTGTTAATTCTATTAAAAATTAATTAATTAATTAATTTATTTATTTATTTATTATCGTGTAGATTTGTAAAAAAGTATTAGCCGCATGGGCAATGGGCGCTGATGCATTCGTGTATCCCAAAGAAGCTGGTCTCTCAGTCGGCGGTAAATTATTCAATCAGTATATTATGCTCGAGGTGCATTACAATAATCCAGAGCGTATTAAAAATAAAGTCGACTCTTCGGGGATTGAATTTTATTTTACTAAAACTCTGAGGAAGTATGACGCAGGGGTGATTGAACTTGGTCTTGAGTATACTGATAAAATGGCAATACCACCTCATCAAGTAATTTGTATAATTATTTTTGATAAGTTATTTATTATTAATTAATTAAATTTTTTTTTTTGATATTGTAGGAATTATTTGAATTATCTGGACACTGTGTAACAGAGTGTACTGGTATTGGGTTACCACAAAATGGTATTTATGTATTTGGATCACAATTACATACTCATCTTACTGGTACCACTGTACGTACACGACATATTCGTAATGGTAATGAATTATCACCGCTTAATTATGATAATCATTATTCAACTCATTTTCAAGAAATAAGATTACTTCCTGAGCCAGTACATATTTTACCGGTATTATTATTATTATTATTATTATTATTATTATTATTATTAAAATTAAAAATTTTAATATTATCTAAAAAAAAAAAAATTAATTTCAACAGGGTGATTCATTAATAACAACTTGTACTTATAATACAATGGAAAGAAATAATGTTACACTAGGTGGTTTTGCTATTTCCGATGAAATGTGCGTCAATTACATCCATTACTACCCAAATACAAGATTAGAAGTTTGTAAAAGCGCAATAAGTGATGATGCATTACGAACTTACTTTAGATACATGCGAGAATGGGAAAATCAAGATACAGATTTTGACACCGCTGTATCAATAAGCTATCAAAATATTGAATGGACCAAATTACGAGTTGCAGCTTTGCACGATCTCTATCAAGCAGCACCACTTGGTAAATTTATTTATATTTTTAAATATAAATTCATTTTGTAAAGCCCTTGAGCTAAGGCTTCAGGGCTAGGCCTAAAATTTTGACAAATAAATAAAATAAATTAAAATAAATTAATTATTTTAGGTATGCAGTGCAATGGATCTGACGGTTCTCGGTTACCAGGGCTTTGGAATAATGTTGCTGCTACTCAAGTTAAATTACCGCTTGCTCCTCCCGCAAGAGATTGCCATTTAATTAATCAATAATAATTACATTATTAAAAACTTTACAGTATTAAATTAATATTATCAGTGTTAATGAATTATTATATTAGATTATATTATTATTGTGTTACAATTACAATAATAAATGAACATATATGAAACAAAAATGACAATATTTTATTACAATTAAACAATTATAAAAAAAAAAAAAATCAAGATGTTTGATTACAATAAAAACATTTACAAAAAGTACCAGACAGAAACTGGACTTGATAATTATCAGTGAAACCGTCTGTAATGGACGGTTAACTTGCTCCACCAAAGCCTCTTATATTATTTAATAATATATATGTATAAATTTATTATATTATTCTTTTTTATCCATATTAAAAAAATTATTATTTATCCTAAAATTAAATGCTATTATTTTATTTGGCCAATATCTCACTAATTTCTTATTTATTTTTTGCTATAAGTCACCACGTGAATTTATATTTTTTTTTATTCTTCAAAATTAGTATTTAAAATATTAAAAAACATTTAACTTTAGGATAATTTTGTCACAAAATTTTAAATATTATTGGCACTATATCTAAAATTTTTTGAAAATAGTTACTCGAGATTTATTAGTGTAAAAATACAAGTTTATATGTATACATATTATAAAAAAATTTATAATTGATACAATGGTTAATATTCAGAAAAAAAAAAAAAAAAAAAAAAAAAAAAAAAAAAAAACATTACAGTACTGGCTTATCAGTCTCTTACCTAATAATGTTCATACATAATATAATATATTTATATATTAAGCATTCGATTAAACGCTGATATATATTTTTTATATAATATATTTATAAGTAAGTATATAAGTATAATATAATAAATATTTATATAAAAAGAAGCCTATCATTATTTAAAAAAAAAAAAAAAAAAAAATATAAGCATTTTGCATGATCGTCACTGGTCTTAAAAATTTTTTTCAAGTACACTTGACATTATTTTTTATTGACATAGTTTATATTAAAATAGTGTATGAATAATTTAAAAATGAATATGTTGATTTATAGAACAACGACTAGATTAAAGCGATTGATTGTTTTCCCGCGGGACAATGCTATTTTGTTGCAAAAAATAATATAGTATTCCTGCTTGCGCCATTACGTCGACGGTACCCGCGGCCAGAGGATCCCGGCTCTTGGGATCATTCCGTGAGTTGTTGGTACCGGGACGCAAAAGTGTTGGTCCAAAAACAGTCGCCAAATTATGCAGCGACATTTTATTTTGTGCCTCATTTTTATTTACTCGTTTCAGGTGAGCCAGTAGGAAATCAATCACCGCCTTGTTCACGGACGGTAAATTATCATAGACCCGGCGCAGTGCTGATCCACGCGCCAGCTCGCCGGTCTGAAAGGCCTCCAAAAATGCTGGGTAAAGTGCATCGGTAAATAATGCTTCTGGCATTTCACGTAAATACAGTTTCAAAACTCCTGTCACTGAATGAACGTCCACCTGTTTTAAAAAATTAAAAAAAAGAATTTATGTAACTGTTCAATTTATAAATGACCTTGTATCTTACACTCATCAATTGTTCATATATTTTATATTATTTATATAGATGTATATATATGAAAAATATATCAAAAATGCATGTGGACACTCAAATGAAAACTTTTGATGAGCTTATGAAAACATCAAGATGAGCTTATATTTTTAAAATATATAAGTATTATATTCGCGATCGCTAATCCCGTTAAATCCATAAAAAACTTCATAAAAATTATCAACTTTGAAAAAGTCATGTAAGGGACACTAGGGTGGGGGTAAGAATGGGGGTATCTGGAAAGTGTATATAAGCAGGGGCAGCTACCCTGAGGAGCACAGTTCCCGGTCGATCGGTCAAGGGTGCACATCGCGCAATGATGTTCTAAACTTTGCCGGTCGTCCAAATTACCCTCTCGACTACATAGTTTTTATTCGTGGTTCGCGTATACCAGAGTTGTTTTTCTGTTTTCTGTGTTTAGTATAAATTGATTCGCGTTGATTTTGATTTTTAAATTTGTAAATTAAATTCAGTTTTTTTTTGTGTTTAATTCAAATTAAGTTCACGCGCACACACATTTCACCTAACATCTTACCCACTCCTAACTGTTTCTTTTCTAATTATTGTTTCGCGATCGGTTTCTATTTAGATTTTAGAGTCATTTGTATAAAAAATTAACTTCAACCCTGACACATACACACAATACACAGACTTCCGGCTCTTCCTAGGAGAGTACTCTTACACAATCTTCTAGGGAAAGTTTTCTTACCGTCTCTTTTCCGTCCGTTCGTTCGTTTGCTTAAATTAAATTCACGCGTTGTATCGTCTAGGGGGAACAATCAGTTCGGTGGTTTTTTTTTTTTTTTTTCGTTTAATTCAATTAAATTAATTCAACGGGAAGTTAGCGTAGAGTCAGCCGTCTCGATAAATTTTTACAAGGCGTAAAGTATCGTTACTTGATGATGGTGCGCAACATCATCTTGTATATAAGACCTTCCTGGGAAAACAAATTAATTCTGATCTTAGCGAATTAATTAGGGATTAATCATGTTCACCCCTTGAGTGCCCGGGCGCGATTTGGGTGACGGTTTAATCCCTTTTTAATTTTCTCTGATCAATTCTTTTTCTTGAACTGATTCCTTTCCCTTTAGTTTTTTAATTAGCTCATAATTAGCGTTAAGTAGATTATAAAATTAGACTTAAGACGGATTGATTCCATTTCCTGCTGCAGTTCACGGGTTTCTAAGGTAATTATATCTCATCTATTTAACAATTATTAAAAAAAAATCTAAAATAAGCGCGATAGTTCGAGTCACTAAAATTTAATCTCCAAAGAATCATTTTTTTTTAATTCGATCGTTCAATTAATTAATAAAAAATTTTTCATATATACATTATATTATATGTATATATGAAAAATGGATGTGGGTACTCAAATGAAAGCTCTTGATAAGAGTGTAACATCAATATGAGCTTATTTATAGTAATTAAATCAATACTTACTTCTTTTAAAAGTTGCTCAGCTTCATATGAATTACTTTCAAATGACTTCCGCAACTTCGTTACATCTGAAGCTGAACCAGATACACGATAAAGTCCAACTTCATTCATACCACGTCGTTCAACTTCTCTAACACAAGCTGTTATAATAAATGGTACATCCCGTTTTTCTCTTCTACAAAAAATAAAATAATTAATAAATATTAACAATACAAAATGGATAAATTTATAAAACTTACTTGCAGACTTGTTGAATTTTCCCCCCAAAAAGACCTTGAGGCTTCGCCGAAGGAACCCGCCTCAAAGTAACCTCCGAGGGAACAAATTTCAATTCAACATCTAGACTGGTAGGTCCAAGATTGAGCGACCTTTCAATATGATCTGACTGCAGCCAAGAACGACTCAAGCGTTGCGTGGACTTTCCTCTGAGCACAGATTTGCCAGCGCACTCTTCGTAGAGTAAAATTCTAAGATTCTGACTGCCCTCAAGCTCGACGACAAAAGTCTCTCCCCAGGTAGGAGCTTGTCCGCGAACAACTCGGCTTTTAGCTCTTTTAAAGTAGTGTCCGTAGCTATCAACCTCAACAACAATATAAATTTCTCCAGGTCTGTCCAACCCTGGAGGTGTCAATCCTAATAGAGTAAGATGCAAGTCACCAAGGAGCAAGCTTTCATCTCGACCAGATCGCATTAAATAGCTTCCCATGTCGGTTTGCAAGTAAGTGCGACAAGCGGTGACCCAAGCTTGCAGCTCGTACATAGACAGTGGTAATGATCCTGGCGGTTGTCCACCTTGTTGGAGCGCTTCCACAGCTTCAATCCACTGCGAACGTTCAAATTCGCTGGACAAAAAGAAACTGTAACAATTTGTCTGTCCGCGGTTTTGATTTTTATGTGAAACTCTGAGTAATAAATTCGGAGATGCAAGAACTAGTTGGGCTTCTAATTCAGCCAGTTTTTTTCTATTTTTTTCAGAGCACCTACCAAGCCGATTTTTCTTCTCATCATTGCGCTCTTCCCACAATATTTGATCCCTGACAGTGCAAGCTTGAGACCTCAGCGCGACAACATTCGCCGGGCTGGCTTCTCGCGGCTCCACACCGTCTTCCATAACAACAGCATCTCCAACAGGAACGTACCACTTTAATTCAAAGGTAAATTTATCTCTGCCAGAGGCTTTGTACTTTGCACAAGCAATAACATCATTGAATAAAAATAAATGCCTCAACTTGCGATGTCCATCAGAAACTTCAACAATAAATGAATTTTTAACTAATCTTCTTTGCGCGCGATCATGACTTGGAAACATTGACTTCGTTTGGATTATATTAAACTCATCTAAAAAATGTCTTGTCATAGCAAGCGCCTCTGACAGTGGAATATGATCAGCATGACTCGTAGGAGTGTGCTTTAACAGATCATGCAATACTAGTGCGTTTTTTTGTACTCTAGCAACAGGTTTGTGCAGTAAATCTTCCAGTGACAATCCCGGACCCTTTGGATTGCCGCGTAATCTTATGTCACGCGTTATATCACCAAATTGAGCTGAATTTGTTGAGCATCTTCGTACTGTATCAGTAGCTCGAGCATAATTGTGTAAAAATGCTCCATAGAGATTAATATTGCTCGCCATAGATTTAAATTGCTCCCCAATAGATGTTTTAGCGTCCCAGGTGTCAAGTTTGCCGCGTAATTCATCTAAAAAATTTTTATGAAGAGCATGAAGCTCCGGAATTTTGTAAAACATCGTGCCGAATTCTTCTTCGGAGATCACCGGCTGGGAAGTTGTCAAAGTAGCGCGGATTGCTTTCATATACTGGAGCATAACAGTGAGACACTCGACATAAACTGTCTCGCTTTCGACAACTGAGTTGACAATGCATTTAATCATTGACAATCTATCATCCTCGTGGTCTTTGATTTGTCTTCTTGGAGTCGTCGGGGTTGGAGATTCAAGACTGCCTTCACTCAAGCTCAGCAGCTCAGCGTCGCTGCTTCCAGTTTCATTGTCAGTGCTTAAAGCACGCAAAAGTATCGGAGGTGCTGTGTTAGAAGCACCTTCTTCATCTTCGCTGTCTATTGCGACTCTGTGCTGGATAAAATAATCAATATTAACATAATTACTACGATTTCCCGGAGAGTCTGGCAGTGAAGGAGGTCGTCTTGGATTGCGATCGTTTGAAATAATCGGAATCCGTGCGTCAATGTAAACGTACTCTCCAGTTTGATCCAAAGCCACTGAATCATAATAAGGCTCTTCTTCAGAAGCCTCTGCGTCACCATCTTCAGCGTCATCGCTGTTTTTTGTAACTTTTTTTTCATTTAAATCCTCCTCATTATTATTTATATTATTGCTGTTGTTGTTATTGTTTTTATTTATGTTTTTATTTTTATTGTTATTGTTATTGTTGTTGTTGTTGTTGTTGTTGTTATTGTTGTTATTGTTATTGTTAATGTTATTGCTACTCATACTACTGCCACTGCCACTGCCACTGCAACTGCTGTTGTTGTTGTCCTTTTTAGAGCTGCCAGTAACTTCAATAACAGTGACATAATTACTGGGAATGTCCGGATCACTATTACTTCTGACAGCTGACTCATCAGCGGTTTTAATTGGGCTCTTTGGAATCTCACTCTTGGGACGTCGAGAAGAGTTCAGTGAGGAGCTTAATTCAGAAACACATTTGTCTTGTAATTTACTTATGTCCTTACGAACTGGCAGTAAAGGGGGTGGTGACTTAGTCACGGCCTGACTCTGACTACTCTCTTCACCTTCATTTTCACTTATTTTCTGACACCGCTGGGTGGTTTTAGCTCCCGCTGTTGGTGACACATTTACCGAGCTAGAGTTTGCAGCTAATTTTCTGTGATGTTCAACATCAGCAAGCAATCTTTCTAAATACTCAACATAAAATTCTTCCTTTTCAAGTTCTTCTCTCAGCGTTGCAACCTATTTAATCAATCATTCATTAATAATTAGTCTCTATTAATAGAAAATTATAATAAATCAATAGTCAATATTTGATGAAAATTAATTTAGCAGATATTAAATAAAATTAAAAAATGGTCAAGTAACAGCTAGCTTTAATATCATCAATATTTGACCTAATAAATAATAATAATAATAATAAATACCTTTTGTTTGTGTTTTATTAAATTAGCACGTACATCTTCTTCCCAAGCAGCAGGTAATGCGCTGTCGGGAAATCTTTCCACCCACACACGTTGAAAATCACCAAAGACACTCATCTTTATATCAAAATAATCTTAAAATTATTTTTATCATAAAAACATTTTTCACTAAACCTTTCAACACTTTAGTTACAAAAAATAGATTTTAATTTATTGATATAATTATTTTTATTATTATTATTATTATTATTATTATTATTATCAGTGGAATAGAATAATAAAAATAAAAAAATGAATTTATTATTAAGGGCGGTTACACTGGTTGACTCTGCGGTACTTTAATTAAATTATCTTTCAACTTGCAAATGTCTTATCTCCTAGTGTTGCTGATGTCTCACTGTCTCTAATTGTCTGTGTGTTAAAATATGTATAAAAGAATACTTGGTCTACATACATAGAGTACATAGGATGCAATAAACTGTTTAACCGCATATATACTTATGTGTAACACACAAAAGATGATAATATACAGGAAAAGAAAAGTTATTTTACTCTACATCCTCTCTTTCTTACTCTTTATATATTTTTATATTTTTTTACACACTCTACATACATACACTTGATACACTGCACATCACTATTAACATTAAACTAAGTATGTACCTCTATACATACATCCTAGGATCCTAGTGATTACAGCGCTCGTCCTTCTGTGTGGTTGTCATCTCAATTAAATTTATTTACATTTTTTTTTTAGTTTTTATTCAATTTAAACTTAAATTTTTTAATTTTAATTGTTGTTTAAATTTTGATTGTCTTATTAATAAAAAAACAATTAGTAAAAAAAAAAAATAATTAATGTTTTTTAAAAAAATTTAATAACTACGACAGATAATAAATTTTAAAAGAAACCTACATTACCTAGAAAATTTTTTTTGTTTTTGTGACGTGAAATACATTATTATGATCGACTGGTTTGATCAGCTGATACTTACTATAGTATATACACATTTACAAGGACCAAAGGTATGTAAACTTATATAGAAAAAGTAAAATAACTTAAAATTTTGAGTATTTTTACTAAAAATAGTTTTTTACTTTTAGAAATCTGATTATCAATCTTCAAATCAGCTAAAATTCATGAAAATTAAACAGAGGAGGGGGTAAAATCTGCTCACCAAACTGTAGACAATTTTCGTAATTCCTGATTTTGATAATAATAATAATAATATTATTATTATTATTATTACTAATGTATATAGACAAAGACATGCAATGAAGAATTTAAAATGGATCGCTTCTTTTGATCGATTGTCAAATTCAAGATGATGTAAATATTTATTGATGATATTATTGTTGACATAATGTCCCGAAAAAGCAATAATAATTTATCAATTGTCGCAGAATTATCTCGACACATTGAAACAGGTTCTAAGACGGGAATTATCACTTGTCTTACGACCATAAAAAATGAGTCTAAAATATTTGAGCTTTTTATTACCGATAAGGGCTTAGATGTTGTTATTAAATTATTAAAGTATCAAAGCTCTAAAGTACTGGACATTGCTCTAAGTATATTAGCAAATGCATTTCTCAGAGAAAGTGTAAGAGAACAGGTAAATTATTTATTTTTAATTTATATTTTTTTTTTTTTTTTTTAATAATTTTTATTAATTATTTATTATTAAATAGGTACACGAGACATCAATTGCTAACAACGTAGTGTGGATAATAAAAAATTTGAGTCCTGGCTTGACTCTTCACTGCAGAGCTTGCCGACTTATTGGTAACATGTCAGATTCAAAACGTCACACAAAAGCGCTTTGTGAAGCTGGTGTTATTGTAGCGCTCAAAGGAATTATTCTCGATGCTAAAACAAGTACTCCAACATTATTAATGTCTATACGCGCTTTAAGGTAACTAAAATATTTTATTTATATACAAAAAAACAATTATAGTAATTTTATTTTTCAATTTAGAAATATTTGGAACATAAATGAAGAAAGTCACGCAGAAATTCTGGATCTAAATTTAGTAAAAGCTGTAACAGACATCTTGGTAAGTTCAAAGTCCAAACAATTAGACTCTTCAAACTCAGAAAAATACAAAGACATAATAGAAACGTGTTTGAAAGCACTGCGTTCTTTTTCTGACACGTCAAACTCGAGATCAGGGGAGCAGATGCGAGGAAAAGATTTGCGAGGATACCAATGTATCGTTGAGCTGTGCAAAACTAACAGCAGAATAGCCTTTCAATTATTGTACAAACTCTGTCGAGTTGCTAATCATAGACCAGCCTTGGGTTCAGTTGGAGTTGTCGAATGTATTATTGATTTTTTAAAATTAAAAACAAATTTGAATTCATTTAGACGAGAATTAATAGCGAGTTTTTGTTTGCTTTCCCGTGAAGCGGTCAACAGACTGAGAATAAGAGAAGAAGGAGGGCTTGAATTGATGTTAAATTTATTAGCAGAGAGTGATAATGAAATTTACCATCCGGCATTGCTGCATGCGCTTACTCAATTTCTTTACGATGAAAATAGTATATTAATAATTATAAAAAATGGAATTGTCGGTGTCTTAACAGACAGATTAAAGCGCATGATAAATGATCTTCAGCTTGAAAGCAATAGTCCTGACAATACCAGTGAGTCTAGTTCAACTTCAAGAAAACGAAGAGCTAAATCGCCTGCTTACAAACATAATAAAAGTGATGTAAAGTACAATCGAATAAACAGCGGAAGGTTTAGCCTTGATTTTCCAATCCAGTGGAGCCCAAGCAGCGTTTGTTCATCAACATCATCTCCAACAAGCTCTCCACCCTTGCCTAATTATGATAATTATGATAATAATGAAAATCCAACTGATGAGGACAATTACAGCCCGGTTTGCAGCGACGATGAAGATTGGATTGGATTGGACAATAATAATGGAATCGAAGATAATTCTTTGAAGAGTATCTCCACTGCATTGGGCAAAGATGAGATAGCTGATGATGATGAAATCGATGATCCAAATGATTTAGTAATGGAAACTCCGGAAGTTAATTTTTCTCACATGTGGACGCTTATTTTATTGGCTAAATTGGCGCTGCACAGTGATCCTATTGAAGGACTTGCAGACTCTGCGACAATTCAAGCGCTCACTTCATACATGGAGTTGTCGAAAAATCACCGAGCTCCTTCAATATTAAATAGAATACTCAAAAATCATGTCTACTTTCTTCCCCTATTACTCCAGGGGTTTGTATTTGAAGCACAGCTGCTTGATGATTCGCAAAATTATTTACAAATTTTGGGCAACGTCGCTGAGCAAGGAGGCGCCTTTGGCGAGCTTGCTGCAACTCTTATCCGAGGTCAGGAAACTGATAAATATATCATTGCAATTTCTGTACCCTTTCTTTTAAAGTCTAGAGATAAGCTTCGGTTGCTTCTTGATACTTACGGAGGACTTGATATTATATTTAAATTATTAAAAGACCGCAATCATTTACTAAATGATAATTCGGTGCTGTCTATTTGTCAGTTGGCTAATAATCTTGGAATCGTGCCAGAAACTTTTGAGAAAGGTTTTACGATGAAAGACAATGAAAGCAATGAAAATCTACCAGTAGATAAAGATAAAAAAGTAATTAAAAATAATGTTACGTTTGAATTAGACGACGGAGGTACCGTTGACGCTTGTAGGCATTTATTGTGTCTAAAGTCTCAAGTTTTTTCGGCAATGTTTAATGGAAATTTTTATGAGACCGGTAAAAAAAGAGTTAGACTTCAAAATGTATCCAAAGGAGGCTTTATCGTTCTTTATTTGGCGGCCAGTGGTCATTTGTTCAGCAATATTGATAATGATGATAATGATGATGATGATAAAGTTAAAATAGAAAGTCTCTTAGACGCAGTGCTTCTTGCTGATCGGTTTTTGATGATTAATGAGCTGGATAAATTAACAGAGACTTCGTTAATGCGGATTAGTTATAGTAATTTAAATCGCGCCTGGAATTGGGCAAGGGAAAATCACTGTAGTGAATTAAAAACTTACTGCGTTACTAATTTTTTAACTAAAAAATTATCGCGCGAGCACAGGCTTAGTGCATTTAATCATTTTATAGATGATAAAAATTTTATTGAATTTTTAGAGGAAATTAAAAAAATTGTAGTGTCACAATTATTGGATAGACAATAATTTAAATATTTATTTTATTTATTAGAAAATGCCGCTAACAATAATTTTGTAAAATTGATATTATTATTATTATTATTATTATTATTATTATTATAAAAAATTCATTTAAAATTGTAAAAATAAATCTATATTTTGTTGCTTAAATTGAATTGTAATTATATACAATTAATGAATTTTTTTTTACACTGATCTAGTCTAAGATTGTAGGTATACGGTATTACATATTTTTTTTTTATAAATATCTTTACTCGTTATAAATTGAGTTAATTCGCTTAGTTAATTGTAGTTTAATTGACTCTGACGGTACTGATATCATGTGTAATTTTAATTTAACATTTTGTTTATTTAAACAATCCATGTTAAAATTTTTAACAATCTAAAATAAATAAATAAATAAATAAATAAAATTTTTATAAATAAACAATTAATAATTATTTTACCTCACTTAATGTCATTATTATTTGAGTCTCTGCCAATTTTTTACCGATGCAGCTTCTAACGCCCAGAGCGAATGGAATCGTAGCGAATGGATTCATTACACAGTCGTAATTACCTTTTGAATTTCTTATCCACCTTTCCGGCATAAATTCATTTGGTTCTACAAAATTATTCGGGTCTCTGCCACTCGAGTACAAAGACATGATTATCAATTCCTTAAATATAACATTACAATACATTAATATTAATTTTTAATTGATTAAAAAAAAAAAAAAAATAAAAAATATTTACTCCGCGTGGAACAACATGTCCGGCGATTGAACAATCCTCTGGCAGGATTCTCGTTAAAAATGGAGCAGTCGGGTACAATCGAAAAGATTCTTTGATAATTCCTTTAATATAAGAATCTTTAATTGTATTTTTCAATTCTATATTACTGGAAATTTCTGCAAATTTATTTTGAACATCCGGATGGCTTGCTAATAAAAATAGCGCCCATTGAGTAGAAAATGCCGTCTAAAAAATAAAAATATATAATCCCAGTACTCAAAAATTAATGATAAAATTTTTTTTTTTAATTTATACAGTGTCTCCAGCAGCTAAAATAAGATCTGTAACAATTCTCGTGGCGTCTTTCTCGGTCATTCCTTCATTTATCATCATCCAAAGCAGCCCGTCTCCTTTTAAATTAATCATCTTGGGCATTAACGTAGTAACAATCTCCAAAATTTCATCCATAACTCTAACAAATTTCTTCCAAACAGGAAAATTAAACTTAACAATATATTTTATCGGCAACAATGATAATCTTGCTGTTAAAATAAAAATTTCATGAAGATTCTTTGCTAATTTATCAGCTTCTTTATCTCCTATACTATCTCTGTATTTATTCCAAGCAGATCCCAGTAAACTCGCCATCATAACTAAAACCAATTTATAATATTAATTTTTTACATATTTTCTTAAAAATTAAAACTTACCGTCAATAGACCATTTGTACAAACGATTTTCTAACTCCGGAATGATCCATTTATCTTGTACTAATAAATTTTTCTTCAATTCTTCAGTTAATTTCACAGCTGCATTTTGACAAGCATTAGCAGTAATTATTTTAGCGTCATAAGGATGTAATAATAATTTATTTATTATTCTTCTAAAGTGTAACCATTCTTCACCGTCCCTAAAAAATTATCAGTTTAATTTTATTTTAAAATATTAATTAATTAATAAAAATACTTACATAAAAAGCAAACCACGGGAACATTTTTTGGATTTATTATAAATTAACCAGGCTTCAGGAAGAAAATGCATCGGCGTTGGTCCTTCATTTTTAAAAATTTTCCTGTAATCTTCTGGAGAGTTAACAAAATACGCACTGACAGATCCAATTTGATCCTTATAAATAGGACCTAATTCTCGGTGTTTATTATCAACAATTTCATGTAATTTCATAGCTTTATCATAATTAATCAGCGATATAAACCGGTCTAACATCCCGGGCCTCGGACACTCCGGAATAGTTGCAAAAAATTTGATACTCCGATCACCATTTTTATTATTTTTTATTACCCTAATATTTAATAATGAATAAAATATTTTGTTGTTATTTTTATTGAAAAACATGTTATTTAATTTAAAATATTTTATTTAGTATATAATGTATCAGGAAAGTATGAGGTGAAAGAAGATCAGATGAACTATACTCTGTCTAGACTGTATGGAGGTATATTATCACTTACTTATATGTATACTAGTGTACAGTTTCAAGCAAACTTGTAGACTAAAACTGACCGCGGTGATTCCAGGAGCTTTTAGCAAAATCTCTTCTTGGGTTTAGTTAAAGAGAGATAAAAGAAAGAGAAAAAAAAAAATCTTTTAAATGAGTAAAGATTTAGGTAGAGGTTTACATATATTAACTTTCTATTTAGAGATAAAAAAAAAATGACAGATGAGAATAATGATTTATCTTTTTGTAACTATTACTAAGTTTTATTTTATTTTTTTGACCAATAAAAATTTTGATAACAACAATTATTTTCTAATTATGGATTTTATTGTGACATTAAAGTTAACAGTCACTTAATTATTTTTTTTTTTAACAAATAAATTTGTTCCAAAAAATTATTTTTAAAAAATTGCATTTTTAATTTTTTTTTCTTATTTTATTTTGCTAATATTTATTTGTTAAAAAAATTATTAAACATCTGCTAAATTAAATGACATGATTTTATTGCTATATTTTTATTTTATATGATAAAAATAAATGTCAATTTTAAAGAATTTTATAAAAAAAAAAAAAACAAGTGATTGAATAAGAGTTTAAATTTATAAAAATTTATGTTGAATAATTTAGCATAAATGTAATTCAATAATCTCTTACCTTTTAAAGATACTTCTAGTTGACAGTTTATATACTCTTTCAAAAACAACTAAAAAATAAAGAAATTAGTTCATTTGATGACAATGGATAATTTTTATTATATTATATAAAACAGTCTATAAGTATATATATTTGAACTTAGATTACAGAAAAAAAAAAAAAATGTACTTCCGATTTATTATTGAAGAAGAAACAATGGATAATAAAATATTAAATGACTCGTACACGTGACATCGTTATGATTGACAAATATATATATGTAATATTACAAGTACAAGTATAATGAATAGATTTTATATAAATATCCAAATAATTAAGTGTGTATAAATTGTATAATATATACATAACTGTCGAATCATCCAAGTGAAATAATATAATCATTATTTTTTTTAAATCTAAATATAAAAAAAAGCAAACAAAAAATAGCAAATAAAATTAAGTAAACTAATAATAATTTACGAGTTAGTGTGATTATGTTTGCATATATGTAGGTGATGACATTGAAGTTAATATCAAACGTCTAAAAATTTTTGATTTTTTTTTATTAATTAAATTACAACTATAAAAAGATTTTTTTTCAATAAAAAATTTCTATAAATTTTGAAATATCGGCTAACTTCATTTTCAATATGGTAGGTGGTGTGTTATATCTGTGTTTTTATAATTCCAGCTTTTCAATTTCGCTCATCGCTCATCACTCCGCATATCAGTCCATCCGTTTTATTCTCTTCAGCTACACCTAGACGATATCCGTGTATACTAAAACGTTATAAAAAATCAATTAACTTAATAGTTATCAATTGATTCATTAGTCTATCTCTTCCGGTAAATCTATTAATCTATTTTTAATTAATAACTCTACAAAAGTGTTGGTTAGTTATTAAATAATTGTTTTTGGAGTGAAAAAAAATTTTTTTTTTACCGCGCACAAATATTTTGAGGTTATAAAAATAAAATAATAAAATTTTTAAGAATAATTATTAACCGGCAATGAGATTATCATTTTTTTTTTTTTTTTAAATTAAATCAGTGTCATTGTGTAATTATTTTAATCTTTAATAAGATAAAAAATAATATAGAAAAGATTGCCGAATTTTTTGGTTAAAAATTACCAACGTGATTGCAAAGGTGACGATCTTTGTTGTTCAAGTTATTTGTCGTCTAGAATTTTCCAAAGTTAATGAGTGACAGTTTTATTTTTATTTATTTTTTTTTTCTACCTATTCACAAACAAAGTAATTATTCAAAATGATGGACACTGATCTTGATTCGTGCTTGGATGATTGGAAGGATTTGACTAAGGATTACAAAGATCTTGAGGTAATTATAATTATTATTATTATTATTATTATTTTTTTTTTTTTTAATTTAATTTAATTTAATTCAATAAATAAATGCTTTATTTATTGTTTTTTAATTACAGGCACTCAATAGAGAATACCTTGCTAAGTTAGAGGAAATATCAGATCTTCAGACAAAATGTCTCAATGGAATTTCACACCAGAGATATCGCATGGGTGTCATTTCAAAATCTCTAAAACAATTGTAAGTATTTTAATTATTTAGATAATTAATAAATAAATTGACTAAATTTTATTTATTTAGTTTGAAAGGTAGTGAAGTGCGGCAGCAAGTTAAAAAAGAAATGCAAAAACGAGAAGAACAATTGCATGAAATGGAACAAACATTACCAAAGTCCAATGGTACTTATTTATCAATTATTCTTGGTAGTGTAAATGTTTCTATTTTGAATAAAAATGACAAGTAAGTTTATTAATTACACTATAATTATAATTATAATTTATTAATTGTATTATTTTATTATTCTAGGTTCAAATATAAAGACGAATATGAAAAATTTAAGCTTGTTTTATCAGTAATTGGTTTCATTTTATCAGTTATTAATTTATTTACTAACTTTAGGTAAATTTAATTAATATTTAAATATTTTAAATTTAAATTTAGAAACATAATTAATCTAGAGTGAGCTTTTTAGAGTTTGAAATTTATTTAATTTTTTTTTTTTTCAGAACACTGGAATTGAGTTTTATGTTTCTATTGGTCTGGTATTATTGTACATTAACGATACGTGAAAGTATATTAAAAGTAAATGGCTCTCGTATAAAAGGATGGTGGCGATTCCATCATTTTTTATCAACAGTAGTATCTGGATTGTTGCTAGTTTGGCCAAACACCGGGCCCTGGTACGCATTTCGTGGTCAATTTATGTGGTTCAACGTTTACATAAGTAAATAATTTATTTTATTATTTATCTATTAAATATAATATTAATTATATTATTGGTATTTTTAGGCTTTGTCCAGTATTTACAATTTAGATATCAACACGGAGTTTTATATCGATTAAAAGCACTTGGAGAGCGTCACAATATGGACATAACGATTGAGGGCTTCCACTCGTGGATGTGGCGCGGATTATCATTTCTTCTTCCATTTTTATTCATAGGATACTTTTTCCAATTGTACAACGCCTACACACTGTTTTGTTTAACATCACACCCCGAAGCTACGTGGCATGTTTCTGTATTGAGCTTTATGTTTTTCATTCTATTCCTCGGCAACGCAATCACCACAATTTTGGTTATTCCACAAAAATGGCAAGACCGCTTGACAAGCCGGCTGCCAACTGTCTTTGCATTTAAATCCGACCGAAGAAAAAGTCTTGGAGCTAAAACTCATGATTTAATTAATAATTCAATAGATAAAGTTAATGAGACTCCAATTACTGAAGATAAAAAATCTGACTAATTATTTATTAAATTTAGTTTTGGTTTTATCTTGATATACTTATCCATTAATAAGTAATGATTGAAAATATTTCAATTTTTATTTGTGACCTAAAGGGATTTTGACAAAACACATTTTTTTTTTTTTTTTTTATGCATTAAATTTGAATAATTATTATTTATAATTTACTGGATAGCGATAAAAGTCAATAATTTTAATTAACTCAGTACAACCGCACACGATTTATTTATAAATAATTTTCTTTTTTGATCACACAAATTAGAGTGTAGAAATAAAAATAAAAATATTATTAATTTAATTTGTAACAATTCAATAAATTTATTTAACATTACATACTCTAATATAAATAAATAATATTTGAAAACAAATACTGAAATTAAAATTTGCTATCAATATTTACATTAAATTACAGTTATATAATAATAATAATAATGATAATAAATAATTAAATAAAATAAAAAATAAATTTATACAAATTGGCATCTAGAGATAAACTTTGATTAAGATAAAGACGTTGATTTTTTTTTAGTACTTTCAGTAGTTTGATTTTTACTTGAATTATTATTATTATTATTATTATTATTATTATCATCAGTAACAGCAGGTACAAGAACTTTGGGTTCTTTCATCAGTACAGTTCCGCTATTAAGTTGACTTGTTTCTAATGATTTAACGTACGATAATAGTGAAGTCCATCCTAAGCTACAGAAACTAACATAGACAACACGATTACGCTCCGGAATGAACACGTAGTTTATTGTCTGAAGTATTGGCCATACAAATACACCAATCTAAATATATTTAATAAATAAATCATTGTTATGTTAAATATTTATTAAGATTACTGTTAAATATTTACCCTCCAGGTAGGGAAAAATTTATTTTTAACTTCTTCAACACATTCCGAGATTGGTTTAAATTCTAACAAATTAATTCCAAAGAAAAAGCAACATATTGCTGCTGGGCCATAAGTAACTTGTTCAACCAACGCCTGAAAAATAATCAACAAAAATTATTTAATAGTAAATATAATTTATTTTATTTTATTTAAAAAATACCTTTGTAATTGCAGACCGTAGATTTGGTTTTGGCCACAAATATGTTGCAATTTTTAACCAAGCAAATAAAGTTGGACCGACAAAAAATCCACCATAAAGACTAAATCTCAATGCATGTATGTAGTCTAATTTTTCTTTACCCGATATTTTTTGTTGGAGCAAACAGGCTGTCGGCCAAATTACTGTGTACGATGCCATACCCCGTACTATTGGATATCTTCGTGACAATTCACCTATTTTTACAAATATTATCCTCATTTTTTTTTTTTTTTTTTTTTTTTTTTTTTTTTTATTTAAAAAATTATTGTTACTGCAACAAATTAAAATTTATAGCATTAAATAAAATTTAATGATTATTTTCTCCGATCTAGAGATATTAATTTATCATTAATTAAACAGATAATATTTATGATGATAAATTTGTTTGATACTTTTAGATAAATAGAGGAATGATGTAATAAACTTGACATTTGACAATGAAAATACTTAAAATTTCTACACACACTACTAGTGTCTAAAATTATTATTATTTTTACTTACGAAAATAAAATAGTAAAAAATACAAGTACTAAATCTTGATCAGCTGATTGTCCCAAGAATTATTAAGTACACGCGGTACTTTAATTGTTACATCAAACAGTATCACGTTAGTAACAACAGAGTGTCGGAATGACAACATTAAATAACAATTTATAGCTTTTATTTATTTATCCAACAATCATTGATTAAATTATTTATTGATAGTAAAAAGAAAAACTAATAATTAAATAAATTTTAATTTGTTTTAGTCACGATTGTAATGACATTGTCCACTAGACAAATTTTGGCAAGTTGGTTAATTTTCTCAGTACGTGACGTACTTTGGAGCACGTTATTTGTACTGGTCTCTTGTTATAAAATGATTCACCAATAGAATCTAAATATACATATAATTTTGTTGTATACTTTTACCGTATTACGAAATTAAAACGCTCCATTCTCGTCTGATTCGCCCTTGAAAAATTAAACAAACTTTAAACTTCAATGATTTTTTAACGCCCAGTACACACACACACACACTTACAATTGTATTACGCAATAGACAAGACACTGAAGTTAACTGACATTAGAAATTTTTAAAAAGATTTTACAACAATTTAATTATTATAAAAGTTTAATAAAAAAAATTTCACATGCAAAAAATTAAAAAAAATTATCAGTGAAAATTTTTTAACTCATTTTTTTTTATTCTAATTGATTTGTTGTAAAAATTAAAAAAAAAAAAAAAAATTGACAGCTGTCAGCTAACTTCAGCATGCAAAAGTCGCATGCGCGGTTTAATTAAAAAATTAAAATTTATTTTTTTACAAAATTGCCTTACTTATTTATTTATCAATATCATTAATATTAAACATATACAGGTACATGTTTACAAAAAAAAAAAAAAAGCATTTACTTGGTGAAATTTAATATTAACTAAACATTTTTTAATTGAATTTAACCAGTAGGTTTAAGTGTAAATAATCCGGGTTAGATTTAATAATTAAAAATATAATTAATAACTAATATTTTAATAATAAAAATATGTTGATGCGATCGAGCAAACTTGAATGTTGATTAAATATTAATCGATGCGTCCAATTTAAATTATCAATCATTAAAATTACAATCTATCATAAAAATATTATTTTACATTTATTTAGCAGTGATATCAAATAAGTCAAGTATTCCTTCATTTTCACTTAAATTAAAATGGTAATCTTTTTCACTGGGTGGCGGGCTCAAACTTAACAAGGGTCCACAAACTGTAAAAAAATATTAATTAGTAATAGTATTTAATAAAAAAAAAAAAAAATAATTAACTTACAATCTGAATAAAACTCTTCAAGTAAACTCGAATCAGGCGAATCCGGTCGAAGCTCTGAAAATAAAATAAAATTAAAGTTTTAAAAAATTAAATAGAGTAAATATTAAAAATACATACTTGTACTGAGACCGCTGAGCAATATTTTAGCTTCTAATAAATCGGTTTCTTCTGCTTCCTCATCTTCGTCAGACGTTGGTTCTTTGTCTCTACTTCTACTCAATCTAAACAAAATAAATAATTATATTAAGTAAATAAAATAATAAATAATTATTAAATTGATTTAAAATGTATGATAAAAGACCAAACGAGTTGTTTAGATTTACAACAACCAATCCCCAACAATCAAATAATTAATTTATGCTCATTTGCAGATTGTAAAAATAAATTTCCAGTTTACAATGCGATAAGAGCAAACAAATAAAAGTAATAATAATAATAATAATAATAATAATATACCTCGATAACCTTTTCTTTGGCTGAGGTTCTTCCTTCTGATCATATTCAACTTTTTCCCTTTTAATACCTTTTGGTTCTGGGTACAATCTCGACTCTCGCATTTTGCTATCATAATTTTCAGCCAAAAGCGGTTGAATCATGTAAACTTTTATCTCACCAGCTGGACTCTTTAATACCAGCTCGTAATTACTCTCATCTTTATCATCATCATCATCATCATCATCATCATGGATTTTTTCCAAATTTGGTACTTTTAATACTGTGTCAGCAGGTGCTTTTATTATTAACACGCAATCATTCGGAAACTGGTCCTTAATGTCTTCGTAGGTAACATAAGCGTACTGACGGTTCTTTAAATCGCATTCAATATTTTTTATACTCTGCTGCATCCATTTAGTGTGAGTGTCCAACAAATCCTCATGCTCCTCAAGTCTTCGTAGTTCTTCCTTTAAATCACCGAGTTTTGCACCAGCTTCTTGGGTATTACATCCCGGGCCTGCGCCTCTAAATAATAAAAATACTAATTAATTTTTTATAATTAATTTAGACCAAAAAAATTTTTATTAAACATTAATCGATTGTATTTATTAAGATATTTTGTTTATAAAACTTACTTCCACTGTATTGAATTTTTACTTTTTTTTTCTATCAATCCAATACCTTCCAAGACATTGGTTATATCATAAATTCTTCTTTTTTGTCGAACCTCCAAAATATCCGCGGCCTGAAAAAAATTTAATTATTAATTATATTTCATTAAAAAATTATTAAATAAAATAAATCATTATTGTTATAATTAAAATAATATTTGCAATTTAATAGGTTATGTAGAATAAAAACAAAATAAATATAACAATAATGATAATAGTTATGTTAATTGTTGGCAATAATAGTAAATCTATAAATGTTAATATTTAATAGAAAGATAAAAACAAAAGTAAAGTAAATAAATAAAATGTTTATTTTAAAATTCCCGCAACGAAAATAAATGGCGTGTAGAAGCCATAGGCGGTAGGTTAACCTATCAAGGTTTGGTTTGTAAATCAAGTGGTTTTAGGTAACCTAGATAATAAATATAATAAAAATAAAAATGTAAAACTTACAACTTTGAGATCTAGAACACCATCCTTGGCTTTTTGTAAAAGTGATACGAATCGAGTGGTTAGTAGACCAAGAGATTTCTCAAATCTACTTTGCTGATTGTCTGCCATTATTTTATAATTCAATACGTAACTATGTATAACCGTTTGTCAAAATTTTAAAACCACAATGTGATTATCTTCGAAATTGGCGCAACAGCTCAAACAACAACGCTACAGCGCGCCATCTCAGCCACGTTTATCATTTTTATTATTTTTGTTAAGGTGTGTATTTCAAAAAAGCAGCCAAACTCTCCAGCGCCACCAGCGGCCAAAAAAAAAGTATTATTATAATAAATCACAAAGATAAAATAAATGTCTATGTTATCGATAATTAATTATCATCTCAACTGTTTTATCATTAAAATTGTGATAATAATAATAATAATAATAATAATAATAATCCTGTATGATTGCAGCGAGAAGAGTACACGTATATAAAGTACAATATAAGTATATGTTTGCTGATCATAGTATGTCATATTATATGTTGTGACGTGTATATTTTTTTAATTTCATCAAATAAGTTATAAAAGCATCTGTGTTAAAAAATAGTTACTATTCTATTATATTAGGTATGTTTACTTAATTTATTTATCATTAATATAAAATTTTGTGTGTGTGTGTGTGTGTAAATACAAACATAATATTCAATATATTAATTGAACATAAATATATATATCATTGAGGTTATACCTTTACAGTTTATTAATAAATTAATTCATTAACTTTATGATTATCTTTGAAATTAGAAAACATTATCGCATATTTTTTCTTAACTCCGATAAGGTCATTTCACAATAAAATTTATTTTATTTATTTAAACACATCTTTACTAGTGCTTAATTTTTATTTATTGTCAATAATTATTTAAATATAAAAATATTTTACTAGGTATTATAAAATGATGCAAGATGAGGATCTCGGTGGTCCTACCAAAAGGAATCCTGTCATGCAAGCGTTCATAAAAATATCACAGGTTAGTATTTTAATAAAAATAATTATAATTATTATTGTAAGATTAATTATTATTGTTTATTTTTTAGATATACCAAGGTTATTTAGATCTTTGGACACCTCATACAATATCCAGATGGATATTTGCCGGATTTTTAGTAATTTTATTTATATTGCGTATTCTTATAGCTCAGGTAATTTTTATATTATTTAAATTTTATAATTCATTTTAAATTAATTGTTTTTTAATGTCTAGGGATGGTATATTATAATTTATGCCTTGGGTATCTATCACCTTAACTTGTTCATAGGATTCCTTACGCCGAAAAGCGATCCAGCGATGGATTACGATGGTAAATAATTTTTCTAAAAAATTGCACTTATAGTTTTTGAAGTTTTTAACAAATAAAAAAATTTTTTTTTTTAATTTTTTTTTAAATGCCGGCTAACTTTATTTTCATAATTTTAATTATTATTTTTTGTGATTATTTATAGACGGTGAGGGTCCGGAATTGCCTACAAAAGCGAATGAGGAATTCCGACCATTTATTAGACGATTACCGGAATTTAAATTCTGGTACTCAGTTACAAAATCAACGATAATAGCATTATTTTGCACCATGTTTGAGCTCTTCAACATTCCTGTCTTCTGGCCAATTTTAGTCATGTATTTCATAACATTATTCTGTATTACAATGAAACGACAAATTAAGGTATTTAAAAAAAAAACAAACCAAGTTATTCATCCATAAATAAATTAATTAATTACATTCAAAATTTATTTTTATTGAAAACAGCTGAATCGTTTTTATAATGATGATAACAAGTATTATTCTTTATGGTTGAATAACTAAGTAAAATATTGTTTACAGAATAATTAATATTTATTTATTTTACAGCATATGATTAAGTATCGCTACTTGCCATTCACTCATGGCAAACCAAAGTACCAAAACCATGATGGCAATATGAGGGTACCAGCTAAATAAGTTTATTAGGATTTTTTTTTTTTGTTTAAAATATAATTGTTAATTAAAAGTGCGTAAGTGTGCGTAATAATAGATTTGTAATTTGTAATTTAAACAATTAAACATGTGAAAGAAAAATTTATAATGGTGAATCAAGCTTGGAAAATTTCTAAGCATTTAACAATTAAACTATGATTTATATTAATAAGTATATATGAAATTATTTAAGTGCGAGAGTAATCAATTTTAGGTAAATAAAACGAACGTATAAAAAATAAATAATTGTAATTAATATAATTAATAATACTTCTGGTACGCATGTATAAATTAAATATTGTCTTGTCTATTGCGTTTGTAACATAAAATTTGTACAAAGAAACATTCAAAGTCTTGCACATCATCTTTCAAACTAACTAATAATAATAATTATAATAAAATAAAATAATTAATAATTAAAGAATACAAAAAATATATTGAATAATTTATTGACAATTTTTTCATTTAAAAGATTCAAGTTTTTATTTTTTAACACTTATTTTTCGATGATAAATAATAATAAATATACATTAGATATTTTATATTCGTCAGGTACAATGATAGAGCCCATTGTCCGTTAAAATTTTTCTTACTTTAAATATATATATATATATATTAATTAAATTTATTATTTTAATGACAGCGAGTGATTAATAATATATGTAATATGAAAAGACGGAAGACAATTTTCACACAATACAACGAGCGAGCGATTGAAAAAATAGTTTAAATTTATATTTAGATAAAATGTTTTTTTAGCCATCAAAAATTCAATTATTTATGATGATAATGTTAGATGAGTAATGATCTGTGATGTATTAAGTATAATAATAATAATAATAATAATAATAATAAGTGGTGATTGATTACTCGTTGAGGTCCTCGGAGATGGTTGCCCGTGATCGATCGAGAAATGTCGTTGTTGAATTCATTCCAACGACAGTTGTGGTTGTTGTCTCACTTGCTGATGATTCTCGTTTTTTGTATGGAACTGACGGCTGATAGTAAAGCCTGAAATGGTACAATTTATTTAATTAAACTACAAGTTGACAAACTCTTTGATTACTGTCCATTACTTTGACAATTGTTATTGTCAATTTTTATTGACTTTGCTTGATAAAAAAAAAAATATTAAAAAACCTTATACTTTCAGTACGAGAACGTGGTGACCAATTATTGTAATACTTTCTATCCATTCCCAGATTTCTGGCAGTGCTCCATCGGGAAAAATGATGTCTCACTGTATTTTGGACTTCGGTGTTTAGAAAACAGTAAAACAATGCCACTGATAAACCCTGAAAATTTAATAATGACAATTATATTAATTGATTTATAAGTCATCTAGAGGTAGAAAAAAAAAAAAAAATAATCTAGTTATTTGAAAAGTAATTTTCTTAATAAATAAATAAATTTAATAGATTTTATAAAATATATTATGTCAATAAAACGGAAAAATTGGGGAATAAATGAAAAAATGTTACTTGAAAAGAAATTTATTATATTAGAAGAAGAAATATAACTGGAAAAGTTGGTTAAATTTATTAGCAATTTGTGAAAAGTAAGTTTGTAAAAAGAAAAAATTTATAATTATGGTAGTTTTAAAAAGTCTACTTAAACTTTTTTAAAGAGATTATTTCAAAGAGTTGGGCAATTTTTTTTAAAAACAAATGATTAGATTATTAATACGGGTGTCTGATAAAACACTAAGATAAAGATTATAATGGAAAAATAAACGATGACGATAGTGATTGAAAAAAAAAAAAAAAAAAAAAAAAATACCTGAGACGACAGCAATATAGCTCGGACGTAAGAAAAAATATTAGCAACTTCTCCCTCAGTTGGCCCAGCAATTACTAATACGTATGTCACCCCAAGGAGTGGGATGAGGACAAGTAGTGCTTTGCTTGCTTTTCTATACTGCTGAGTCTCGACATTATTTGCCGAGCGTAGTTTTGTTATCAGAACCTGCTTTAAAAAATTGAAAAAAAAAAAAAAAAAAATATTAAATAATAATTCAATTTAATGTTTTTAGTAAATAATTGCAGTATTGAAAAAATAAACTGACCCACATGATCATGAAGAGAAAAATAACATTTACACTCAGTACTGTAATTGCTGGGATTTGATAAAACCAATCGTAATGATGATAAACTATCCACGGACAATGTCGATACAGCGCTCCATTCTTAAAAAATATATTTATTATTAATTAGTGATTGAGGATATTAAAAATATGAAATTAATTAAAATTAATATACTTGAGTGATACTCTCAGTATTAACAACTGTTGATTTAGCTATACACCAAATAGCTATCACAAGGATAGGAGTACCTGGAAATATTGATTTAATCAATTACAAGTGTAAAACAGCAAGTATATACATACATTATAACGCTAAGTAATTAACTTACCCCATCCGATGACAAGACAAAGACGCAGTTTAATATTATCACCGGTAAATGTTTTTACGACCAATAAATACAGATACAAACCTAGATAACAAAAACATACATTATTAATTATTAATGCAAAAGGGTGGATGGTAATACCTTCAACAAACATCCAGAAGAAATTCGTCAGATGAAAATAATTAAGCATCGATATAAATATTATACAGGAGGGAATATCTGACTGCATTGAAACTTGCATCACTGTTGTTAATATCCATGTTAAATCGGCAAGTATGTATGTCAACATTAAATTCGTGTGAATGTTATTTCTTAAACATCTCAGCTCCCTGTAAAAAAAAAAAATTAAAGGCATATAATAATAATAATAATAATAATAATAAATAAATAAAAAATTATAACCAAATAATTAAAAACCTATATAAAAAGATAATTTAATGTAACGACGTAAATGGGGAAAAGTACATATCAAATAAAGTTTTTCCTTAAGAGAAAAGAAAATATCCTCTATCAGTGTACAAACTTGTACACATAACAACAATCCAACCTGGTTAGTGTTTACTCGGCTGGTCGCTATAACTTTTATCTCTTTTGTTTGAGAGCTGTTATGTGCTTCTACATCACACATTACACATCAGTCATCAATCGAGTGTCTATAGTTTAAGTGTTTAACTGGGATAGAGCGAAGAAAAATAACCGGAGCAAATAATTATGACACAGTAATATTTTTAGGATTAATTATCAGTTTTATATCGATTGTTATTTAAAGTATTTATAGAAGTAAAGCTACTTCCAAATTTTATCTGATAAATCTGGATCAATGATCTGGATATATAGATTTAAAAATAACATTTAAATAAAAGAAAAGCGGGTATTAAGGATTTTATTTTAAATAATTTTTTTTGATTTAAAATTTAATTACTTGTAGTAGAGAAAAATAGCAACAGCGACAACCAGAGTTGAGAGTGATAGACTGTAGCCGACAAAATATAATGTCGTTGTTATTTCAACGCTGGACTCAGCTACTTGTGATCTCAACTCGTGACAGTGTGAGTAGTCGGTCCGATTATCCCAGGTACCATTGGGCCAGCACCACCGGCTAGCATTTTCTGTAACATTTTATTTTTAATTTAACGAGTCATTACACTGAAAAACAATTATTGATTTAGTTTTGAGGATATTAATTGCTATTAATTTATACCTTGTTTGGATTTTACAAAAATAATTAATATTTATGGTTTAATTTAAATGGTTTTTTAATAATAGCTTGACGTAGTTATAAACGCGGTAATAACAAGTATACATTCAATTGACAAGTAATATCAAACGTATAATATAATGTAAAATAATATAGGACACATCAGGAGATATAATAATGGGGATAGGAAGCTAAAAGGGACTGCGATGATGAAAATGAGTTGATGCATCTACTTTAATCAAATTTCAACGTCAAATTTTATCAACAAATCAATAATCTCTACCGATGGATTATGTTTCCGAATGTCTCGTTTACTAATATCGCTTTCAACCGCTTTTACTACTGTTGTTGTTGTTGTTTTGTACAATAATATACTTAAAAAGAATTAAAAATAATTTTTATTAAAGCTCTCAGAGATAATAAAGTTTAAAATAAAAATTAATAAACTACCACTCAAACAAAATTAAAAACCTTTCTTTGCTCTACATAAAATTTTTGGTTCGCTAAAGTAATAAAAAAAAACCATTTTATTAAACCTGGATGTCAATAATAATAATAATAATAATAATAATAATAAAAATCGACTATTAGTTTTAATTATAGAAAAAGAGAGAAAATAACCGAGTAGAGAGGTAAAACTGAATTCAGGACTGAAACAAAGTTACCTCTTGTTTTACTGTCCTTTTAAACTTGTTAACTAAACGTCCATTCTCAATTAGTTCATCTTCTCGAAACCTATACTATGTAATATAAAAAAATAACAATATAATTTAAATTATATTTTTTAAAATGTCAATCAATTATAATCGGCTGATTTTTTTCATCTTAAAAATTGTTTAAGGTATTTTTCCAAGATGCGGGATAAGAACGTTTGTTTGTGTTATTGGGTAAACTAGGTTACTCAACAGGAATTAATTAATTAAAAAAAAAAAAAAAAAAAGAGACATAAAGATGTTAATTGGATAAAATTATTACGATATTGATTAAAGGAAGGTAAGTTTAATCGTAATGGTGATTACGATCATTATCCATTGTACGTAATATCGATCTGTCTGACCATTTTTACACTTTTATCACTTGTAAAACTTAATACCCTTTTGTTAATTAGTTAAAAAGATATATCATTAATAATTACTGGAGTTTAAAATAAATTTATCTTCAAGAGTAGTTAAATACGGAATTTTATCGCAATTTGTTTTATTATTGGTATTTCTGTAATTGTACGAGATTACAGGATGGATAATAAAAAATAAAAAAGAAAATAGCGTGTAAAAGCCAAAGCCGGCTTATCTCCGATTCAGTTCTTCAGGCTTGATATTTTATACCATTTTGTGAGCCATCAAAAGGCATACAGCGATATTATAATTCTCCCATTCATAAATAAAAATACTTTATCTATAAAAGCTATTATGTTTTATATTATATTTATGTTGATTTACTCATATGTATGCTGAGAAATGATCCTGTACATATTTTCTTCCAGGTTATATTATCATTATCACATCAAGAATATATAATGTATTTTATATAATCGTTATGAATGCGGGTCAGAATATTTCTTCATTTAATTATAACATTTTTTAATCAACATTATTCAATAATTCTTTTAATTAAATATTTAAAGCTACAATTTTTCTGTAGAAAATAAATTAATTAAATACTAATAACACCCCCTTATTAACAATTAGGGGACGCATCAATGCCGTTTGGAGAGGATAATAAAACAAATGCAAGGTCGAGGTTATTGCTATATACTACCAAAAAATTTATAAATAGATTAGAATTAATTCAAATAAATTTATCTGACAATGGTATTTCCTCTATTACTACAATAATAAATTCACCTGTTACAGATTTTACTTTTCTTCAAGAGTATAAAACGTTTTATGGAGTTCTTTACTACGGTAGAAATTCAATCGAGTGTCTGTCATTCAAAGTTTCAATTTAACACTTCAAGGCACGCAATATTATTTTTCCTTTCGATGTTTCAGTTCAATATTACATTTTTTTTTTTTTTTTTTTTTTTTTTTTCCCTTCCTTTTTTAAACTCCCAGAACTTGTTTATTCTATTGAATTTTTTTTCCCCCGTTGTTGAGGTTGACGCGACTAATCAATTTAAAAAAGTTTATGTTTTTATAATTCAATTAACTGTTTTATACCGGAAATAATTATTTTTTTTTTTTTTTTTTTTTTTTACCGGAAAAATAACTCTGCGGGTTTCATATTTTAATTTAATTCGTACCTTTACGTGCGAAATATTTTATTTAAAAAAACAAACATATGCATATAAATTTATCCCCGTTTAAATTTAATAAAATGTCACACATTTTTATCATAAGAAATAACTTTAAAGATTTATAAAAATAACTAAAAAATTTATAAATCGTCGATCAGGGTAAATTTAAAGAGAAATTTTTATCGTTTATTGGATACTTTAACTGACATAAAATATAATGGAAGATAATAGAAATATTAACTTTAATAAAAATATTTTTAAAAATAATATAATTATTAATTATATATTATCAAGCCGTAAATATATATTGATGTATGATAAGAAATGGTGTATTCAAGAATGATAAGGGTATATAAAAGATAAAAATAGTATATAATAAAATGTAAGTAAAGTATAAAGAGAAGCTGGAGGTCGGTTGAAGGTAAGGTGACACGAAATAGTACAATATATAACAGTAGTACATAATAAAATATTGTTTATATTGTTTATGTTGAAATAAACTAATTAAAACTAGTCAAGCGTGGAAGGTATACCCACTCTACTTATTGCTCTCCTTTTGATTTTATTTTTCAATATTGCATTACCATCAGCGTAATTATATTTATTATTGAATATACATATACATATACATATTTAAAAGACAAGAAGTAATTTTAGCCGGGTAGAATATTGGAGATTGAATAGTAAATGAGATTATTTTTAATACAAAGAAACAGACTTGCTATGTTGACTTTTTTAAGGTCAAACTACCAATGTGGTGTACTTGCTAAGGGGGTACTTTATAAAACTAAGCAATTTTTTTTTTTTTTTATAATGTCCTTTTTTGCTCAAAGTTTCTTCTTCAGTATTATCTTTAAAAAAACGGACCTACTGAAAGAGATTTTTCCAATAAAAGAAACGTTTCAGACCCACAAATCTATATTTAAATCGAGAGATATCGTTTGATTAAATTTTTATCACACGCTTTTAGTTATATTGCTTTATTATGAATAAGTTTTCTCAATTTTATAATCTTCTTTTTTTTCCTCTAGCTTTTTTTCATTTTCTATCCATTAAAAAAGTTTATTATTGTCTCCAACTAAATTGAAACTTTGATTAAAAATAAACATAATTTTTGCAACTCATAAAATTATTTAATTACTCTAGACAATAAAGTTTTCCCATTGCTTTTTACAGTATTGATACTGCCTGTTGTTGTTGTTGTTTAGAAAATATTTTGTATAAATTTTCAATGACAAAAGTTTGAATATATTCAAAGATAACAACGAGAATAAATAAAAATTTAAATTTCCAGCTGCAATAAAATTCGAATGAGTAAACCATACAAATCTATTTTATGATTCCCGCGATACAGTACTCCTTTAGTGATTTTTTTTTTTTTTAATCACCAAAACTCGATCAATTTTGTGAGGGTGGATTATTGGAAAAAATAGAAAAAAAAATGTTAAAAAGATCCGTCATTCAGCGAACAAAGAACTTTTATAATAAATTAAGGATGATTATTATAATAGAAACTAGATGATATATTATCCTAAAAGAAGATTAATATGTATATTTTTTAAAATAGATGAAAATTTTATTAATGATTGAACAAGCAGTATTTTAACTTGAGCTTTTTTATTTTAGTTTGATGCGAACCGTAAAGTGGCACACGCAGTTTAGTAATAATAATATATGATACACTGCCGAAGAAAAAAGAAGAAATAAAAAAATAACGCAACGGATATATTTATCCTTTACTCACTACTTTTACTACTACATTAGGATTCAGATCCCGTTTCAGTAAGGGATTTAGAGCCCCTTATCATCGAAACATCACCAACATGATTTCTTGCGATTTTTTTTTTTTTTGTGCAAAACAAAACTTTTTCTTCATTTTTATTGATTTGATAAAAGTACTCTTAATTATTTACAAATAAATTTTATTTAAAAAATTAAAAAAATTAAAATTTTAAATGCTAATTTAAAAAATTTTATTTTAATAATTTGACTATAAAAAATTTTTTATTTCAGACAACTTTAAATGATTTAAATGATTAAATTTCTTTTATTGGCAGATTTTTATCATTTTTGAGTATTAAAAAAAAAAAAATATTTATGAAAAAGAAGAAAAGTTAAGTAGAGAGTATATTGAAAAAGACTTTACGACCTGGCCTGATCTTAAAGCTTGAGAAGAATCCAATTACGTTTTTCATTCTTCCATTTCTTCCGCGCGGCGGAAATAAATTATATATACTTAAAACGAATAAGAGAATAAGAGAATAAGAGAATAAGAGAAAGTACATTAAAGCTCAAAGTCTTTTGTGAATATTCAAAAATATTCAAGTGCTTGTTGTACGACACTCTCAAAAGAGTAATTATTAAAATAATAATAATAAAATAACTTACGTGAACTGTCGTAAAAAATTCCATAAAGTTGATCAACGCAGGGTAACTTAACATTGGTGCCCGCAGGAGTTGACGGCCAACACAACAACGAGTCCCAATTAACCGGACAAACGTTAGCTTCATGTGTTGTTGTTGTTGTCGTGGCCTTTTGACTGACACTGTCCTGATGTTTGGCCTTCAAGCATTCAATCTCCTTGGTAAGTAACGAGTCATTGAGCTCATTAATGTGATTGAGGATGTTGAGCACATAATTACCCCCGTGGGTACCATCATCAAGTGCTGTCGATGTACCGTTTGTCATCAAAGCCTCTGCCATTACACTTGAAATTATTACTCGTTACCTTTTCCACTGCCGTCTATTAATAATATAAATATTTTATGCAATTTAATATTAATTATTATTATTTTAGGAAGCTAACTAGATGAGTTTGAACAAATGGAGCAAACGGAATGTTAATAGCTTGGTTGGCGCTTGCCAATAGACTGGCTCGCGCTTATGTTTCCGCTGGTACTTTTATTTTCCTTTCCTCTTAGAGCACTTGCGCCGTCTCAATATCATCAAATCCTTTGTATAACAACATATCCTGGTAATTTATACATATATTCACTTTAAACTATCCGTCTGATCATCCTGATTAATAAATAAAAAATAAAACAATTAAAATTAATAGACATATCTATTAATATAATATATAATTTTTAAAGTTAGCAAAGATCATCTTGATCATTTTTTTATTTTTTAACAAACAAATTTGTACAGAAAAATTATTTTTAAAAAAATTCCATTTTTCTTTTTTATTTAATTTTTACAAGTCAATTTTTTGCTATAATTTAATGAAAATAAAGTTAGCCGACGTTTTTAATTTTCTTTTAATAATTTAATTACAACAAAAAAATATTTTAATTTAAAATTTTAAATTTTAAAAAAAAAAAAAAAAAAAAAATTACTAAAAATTTTCAAGTGTCGGCTAACTTAATTTTCATAAGTTACCCGACATCTAAGAATTTTTATGATTTTTTTTTATTAAAGAATTACTACAAAAAAAAGAAAAAAATAATTATTATCATAATTTATTTGTTAAAAATAATTATTTAATTTTTATAAATAATAATAGAGTTTGTTATTTTTTAGAAAATGAAGAAAATTAACAGGGTTTGTAGTAACAAAAGAAGAAATTTTTTTTAGGTGGCAAGATTTGGTCGAGAAAGTTAGATTTGGTGTTACAGCGAGATGTTGAATACGGATTTTTATCTTTTATCTTATTATTATTATTATTATAATACCGCGAGAAACGATGTGTAAATAAGGGCGTCGAAAACGATGAGTACATCATTAATCTTCCTCAGGAGAGAGTAGGTATGTGAAATGTGTGAACAGCGACGTTGATCGTTAGGTCGTTAATGGTTCACAACATACCTCTATGATTTTTATGGATAAGTAACACCCTCAACAATTGTATACGCTATCGTTATACTCTATTCTTATCTATAATCCATATTGATCCTAACAAAAGCTTAATACAACGCTTTATTCCTTTAAGGCTATTGTGGTTGAGGTTAATTTGATCTATTGATCAATAAGTGTGGTCACCATTTACAGTTTCCTAACGTAATTTACTAATTCATTACTCCGTTTAACAAATTACCAACGATTACAACCAACTAATAGTAATAATAAATAATAAAACAATTATTATTAATATTTTTTATCTGAATATAAATGTTATAAATTGATGGACTCGTATGGATTTTAGTATTTCACCGGATTATCTCTGTATCACATATGTATACAATACAACAAGGTAAGCATTAGGGGTCGAACTTCGAAATTCAACGAATAATTCGAATAAGTTCCAATTATTCGTCGAATTTTGATTAATTCAAAAACTCGAATTATTCGATTCGAATTTCAAATCGAATATCAATACTCGATTGGAACGATATTCGCACACCCGTATTTGAAATTGTCAATAAGTTCATTATTAATCATTGTTATGTACCAATTGAATTGTTTTCACATTCTCTACAAGGATTTTAGGCCAAAAAGTTGATTAGATTAGTAACTTGGAAGAAATTTAAAGTTTTCATTTTTACATCTCCGCGTGGCTATGCTATCAAGTCTTATCAAGACTTATCAAGAGTTAACTAGATTAGGGTTTAATTTAAAATTAGGGGTGTGCGAATAATTCCAACTTACAAATTATTCGTTCCGAATCGAATAATTTGAATTTTCGAATTATTCGAAATTCGACCAACAATTTGAAAAAATTCGATTCGATTCGATTCGATTCGATTCGAACGATATTCGCACACCCCTAGTAACCATGCGCTTTTAGATATAAATCATTTATTTATTTCCCGAAAAAATATACTGTTAACTAAACTCATAATAGCCAATTATAATTATATAGTTAATTAAATTACCTCAAGTAAAGTTTGATCAATGATTTATCAATGTAACTTTATTATATAAATTCAAGACATTACTAAACTCTTAATGAGACAATTATTAGCACACGTCGGTTTTACATATATATGTCAATCACTTTATCTATAACGTGACTTTATTATAAATTTAATTTTTTAAGCTTTAAAAATGTTTAGAAAATTTTTTAGCTTCTTTTCGAGAGTTTAAAACGTCGAATTGAATTAAAACTTTGCACACTTATCAAGGACCGGTGACAAGACAATAATTCGATAAGTTTGTCTCTTTATCTCTCAATAAAACAGAATTTTAAACTAATTAAAAATTATTTTATACTTTGCAGTTTTTATTAAACTGTAAAATTAATAAAATATTTATTAAAAAAGATGATTTACTGATGAGAGTAGTAAAGTTATAAAGTAGAAAAATTTTTAAAATATATAAAGCAACCAGCGTGGTTGATTTAGTATCCTTATAATCAATTTATGATGTATATTTTATTTTATACCTCACTGACCAAACAAATATAAATCTTACTTTATACATATAATAAATAACAAAAAGTAGTCAATACCCTGCTTTAAATTTATCTAACATGAAATATTACAAAAAACTAATTTTTTTTTTTATAATTTTCTTTCACACATGTGGTTTATAATGACAAGTAATCAAATTACTAGTAATTAACGGTGAAAGAGGAATACACGTGAGGTTGTAATAGAGATAAAATAATCAGTTGGTGAAGGAACAACTAATGGAATACGAGAATCCTGTATTATAGTATAGTATAGTATTGAGGTGCCTGCTCGGCTCTCTGCCAAAGAGATCAAAGTTTACTCTCACGTTTTCACTCTACATTCTTTACTCGTTAAAATATATTATATATTTATGTAAATTTATCTGAAGCATGAAAAATAGGAACACTTTGTTTTAGAAGCTTCGATCCATTTTTTTAGCATTTGCTCCTCAATAAAGAACTTTATGCTCTTGGGTTTTATGCAAAAATATGCAATAATGTTGTCTAATTATTACTCACTTTCTCGACTCGGAAAAAATAATAATAAATATCGCGCAATTACAAGATCTATTTGTTTAATTAAAAGTCAAAGATATTTATTGCAGATTATTAAATTGATGATAGTGTTGACTAGTAGATAATTTTAATTTATTAATAAATAAAATAGCTTCACTTGAATTAAATATAAATTGTTTTAAACAGTTCTTTAGACAGAAGAAGAAATTTTTTTCAGAAGATGAAATAACAGATTTACCGAGGAGATACCTAAGTATTAATCAATTACGTCTGACTGAAACAAAACTCACTTCCCTTGGGCTAAACACTGAACCACTCGGATGTAATATACTTTAAAAGTTATTTTTTCTTGATAGAACAACAACAACTACAACAACTAACTACTGTTTTAAATAAAAAAGGATAAATAACAAAAGTGGTATTGTTATTAATATAGTTGCAGTGGATGCCTGAAGCTACACTGAAAGTTAGTTCTGAGAAGAAATCCGACGGAACTTTTTATTTTTTCTTTGAGGTAAATTACTACTACCGTTACTAAGAACACTAATAAACCTTATCTTTGTTAAATATTTACTTCACAACTTAGCATCGTAACAGTTATCTTTTTATTTTTATTACCTTGATTTTCATAATGAATTTTATTTTTATCTTTGAACCAATTTTTTTTTATTAATATTTTTTTTTGATTTCATTTTAAATATTTGCATGTTTACTTCTAAAGCTATTAATAAAATCTTAATTAAAGAAACATTTTATTTAATGTTTCTTTATTAAAAAAAAATAAAAAAGGTGAAATAAATCCAACACAAAGAATAATTTGATATACAACAATTATTTATTTTATTTAAATTGATTTGTTTTCATGTCGATAGAATAAAATTTTTTTTTATACACACATTGCTGATAATCGCAAGAGATATATTATAGCTGCTAATTTTAAAATCAACCATCAGGCAACATCATATTCATAAATATAACATATAATATTTATATAATTCTAAAACAATTATTATTATTATTATTATTACAATTAAATATTCAATCTAATTCACAATTTATAATATCATTATATATATATATATATATACATAAACAATAAAATATTCAACATCGATTTGTCTAATAAAAATATTACTCTTATCACATAAAATACTTTATTACACTTAATAATAATAATAATAATAATAATAATAATAATAATAATAATAATAAATATATATTTGTTTATTATAACAATAATTTATCCTTTTATACCAAAAAATAATGTGTCTGATTAATTACTATTGATATTATTATTATTATCATTTATTATTAATATTATTTATTTATTTAACATTAAGCTGATTCCGGAATACTTGTATGGCTGTATAAAAAATAAACTATGCACTGGGGAGACCGGAGAATGACAACATTGAGCTCGATTCAATAATATATATATATATATATATATATATATATATATTTATGTTCAATATAGTTATTATTAAATCACAATTACTTTCCCAAATGTTTGTTCCGTCAATAAAATTTTCTTCTTTATGTTCAGTTTTTCTATTTCTTCTTAGTTTAAACTTTTTTTTTTATTTTTTTTATATCAGTTTATTAACCACAATAAAAACAAATGGGTGATAAAAAAAATGGATTACTGCCGCGGCTCGAAAAAGGACCGACAGCGCGCAAATCGTCAGGGTTTATCAGAAGTAGTTGTTTTTGTAAGAGGCGGTGATGATCTTCTCGATGATGGCCCAACACTTGTGCTCCGTTCCAGTTGTTCCGATTTATTTTGAAACATTGAAGATGATATGGTACGTTTGGCTGTCCTAAAAGAACTACCAAACAAATAAATCCATTATTTATTTATTATTAAACCCACATTTTTTATCATTATTTATACAAATTATTTAATGATCATTGTGCAAGAAAAGCAGCAGTGCAGCTTTCACAGCTTCATTATTAACATCAATGCTTCTTCCTTCTTGACAGGTTTATTATTAATAACAATTTGTTAGTTAATAATAATTAAACACAAAGCAGTAGACACTGAGAGTAATGAGAAAAATACGAGACGGATGAAATAAAAAAAATATTTACAAATCTTTAAATTGATTTTAAATAATTTTTTTTTTTTTTCCAATTTAAAAACCTGTAATTAATAATTACAATTATGAACATGAAAATAAACACTTTATAGTTTTAGTGTATCGTGTTCGTAAATATTAGTATGTGTGAGTATTATTAGTAAACGATATTTTAAAGCCATCCAACAGGAAGGGGTAGATCATAATTAATTATACATAAACTGAAGCGCAAGCTATAGAAAGAACGAAGATATTTGTTGATTAAATATCCCGATGAACCCATCGTAATCGGGTTACATATAATAATAATAATAATAATAATAATAATAATCGCAATCACATCTAGGATTGTTTTGTTTTTTGTTTCTTTTTTCTGATCGTGCAAAATCGTAACGATAATCGTGCAAGCAAGATTAACACCGGAGATAAATATCATGATAAGCACTGGAAGCATGTCCATTACATTGTTTCTAAACACATATACGGTATTCACATTCAATCTAATTGCTATTATGTTTGAAATAGTTTAAAAATTTTGGTTTTAATTTAAATTTATAGGAAGACGCTCACGGGCATCTTTACCTTGCTCGCAAAATCATCGCGATAAATAGTCTGATAAATTCATTGGCGTCAATTCGATCATCATCATCATCATCATCATTGTCACTGTTATCCTCATCATCAGGAATCAAACGAATGGGAATTATTTCCGCACCAACGACTAGGTCTCAGTCGAAATTGTGCATAAATTCTGGATAATATCAATGCTGTCGATAAAATAATTATTCTGATTGTGGAATGTGATGTACGCTGTCGCTTCTGTCGTGAGCGATTATTAACATCAACTCGCGACATTCCGACAAATCTTCAAAGCAGGTACCTGCAATCCAATAACTTTTTAAAACCTTATTCATATCAATCTACTAATCTTTTGCAATTTAAATAATTTAAATAATAATTATAAATTATCTAAGGGTAAGCTCATGTGGTCGTAATCTTGCTAGAGCTTTAGTTTTTTTTTTTTTTCTTCTATTTTTTTCAGACACTAAAATAAAAAAAGTGCCAGCTCTAGAAAGATATTCGTCTGTTGGGCCATTAGCGGGGTTTTAAATTCATTGCTTGTGTCAAAGTGGTTGGGACGAGTGCTAGGACTTTTCTATTTTAGAAAATTCATATCAATTTATATATATATGAAAAAGACGTAAAAGGATTTGGGAGAGACAGAGAGAGAGAGAGAGAGAGAGAGAGGTACAAAGATAAAGACAGAGGTGAGAGATAGATAATTACCAATGTATAAGTGAGTAAATTGTAGGTAGATGTGTGTTAGATGTGGGTGGGGAGTTTCCGCTTTAAGTACACGCTGTTGCGAGCTGATGTGCTGACCGTTGTCTCCTTACTGGAAAAATAGAGCCGTGGCTCGTATTCGAACGCGTTTTACTGAAAAAATATTAACTACCTACGTCTACCGAAATATATTTTATAAAAAATAATAAATAAACTAAATGTGAACCATTGTTGTAATAAATATCCATACAGTTGACATTATTTTAAATAATTTTATCACTGTATTTTTTAATGGAGATAGATGATATATGAATTGATATAATATTTATTTAGTAGCTTACCTTCTTCGTCGAAGCGACGAATTTAAACCAGGTAAACCAAATTGTCCTCGAGGTATCACCATTCTCGCATTACCCTGAGCAGGTCTTGATCCACCATAAGATTGCAGTTGACTTAAATGAGCAGCGTATCCTTCACTGAGTACAGTCGCCAGTGATTGATGCTTCTTCGGCACTTTCCCAACAATAATTATTTGCCGGGGTTTTAAATTAACTGCCGTATAAACGGCAATATCCTTGCTGCTACCGTACGCCTGATGAATTATTACACCGTGCTCATGGATCAAGTTGTTCAAGTAAGCAGCTTTATGGCCAAGCGGATCGCGAGACAATCCATCAGCAAAAGACACTAATCCATGTGGAAAATTGTGCTGTGATAACCAAGAGACTACCTTTTGCTGCTGCATGTCTGGTCGAGCTGTTATATATATTATTAGATATCCAAGTTCTTGCCAATGTCTAAAAAATAGTTTTGTTTATTATTATATTATTTTAAAAGTATTTAATTTTAATAATTACCTAGCGACATCAACAGCACCAGCACGGACTTTTGGATCTCGTCCTGTCACGCTCATACTTGCTGTAAAAGATCCGTCAATACTGAACACAACACACTCTGTATTTGGAGGTATTACAGCCATAAAAAAATCTACAGACGTGTGATCACCTCTGGAATAAATAAAAAATAAATAAAAGCTATTAAATAAACAAAACATTTATTAATTTACCTTACAACCATTTTAATTGGATAAAGACCGTAAGATAATGCTTTATCATCGGGTATTCTATAAGTAATTCGACCATTTTTATCCGTTACTTCTGTTGATAGATATGTCCATTCTCCAGCGGGTGCATCCTTCATCACATGAATGTCAACCTTTTCGCCAGTCAATGCGATAACATCTATGGGGCTGTACATAAATCTTGCAATTAATATCTGCGGCAAACCTTCGCGTACGATTACGTCATTAGCTCGATGATTCGCCGCGACATTCTGAGAATATAACAGAGTAAATTGATTAATAACTTTAGATTAATTTTTAGTTGATTAATTAAAAAAGTTAACCTTAAGTTTAACCGAGGTACGTTTTTTATTCCACTTTTCTCGTGGCTGACCTGGACGGAAACAGGCTAAATCTTTTTCTTCACCACCAAGCATCGGCAAATCAAATCTACCAATTTGTCTTAATATAAATGCAATTACGTCTGATGATTCCCAGTAACTTGCGTGGAACAAATGCGGTAATGCATTTGTTGGAAAGTTTGCAAGACCTTCTGGGCAGTAGAGTGCGTAATCTATTCTTTTATTTCCCCACCACTTGTGTGTTACTGAAAGTTTTTAATTACTAATAAATAATACTTTTAATTTAATAATTAATTTTTTTTAACTTACAGGAAGATACTGCTTGTAAAGGTACATTATCAATCAAACCCGACATGGTACTTTGAAGAGATATGTCAGACATTCTTCTTAGATGCTGAAGTGGTGTGTTTGGAGCATTCAATCCATCAGCAAACAATTGTGGATTCGTTTGAATGGCTTCAACTGCAAATCAATAAAATTCAATGTTAAAAATATCTACAATAATGAATAATAATAATAATAATAAAAAAAAAACTTACGTAAATGATAAGGTTGTCCGTTGCCGAGCGGATATTTTTGATAACGTGCGACATTGACCGGAGGTAACTGTGAAAATCGAGCTGATATAATAGGTTCTAAGCGCGCAGCTACCGGATCCGTAGGATGAAATAGATTGTAGACTTGATTGACAAGCGGCCTAGGCACCGTTGTGCCTTTATCATTGCTTGAGGATATTTTACGATAAGCAAGGACTAACGCCAGCGGACTGCCAAACATAAAAAATTCACTGACGTCAAATTCTAATTTACATTGAGATGAATCGCTGGTTGATGATGAACGTCTTCTTGGTAAAGGTGCCGTTAAGTGTTTGCCATCTTCACTTTGATCACCTCCAGGTTGATTGTCGTTTTCTAAAATACTATTTTCACTGTCGTGTCTCGATTGATATTGAACGGACCGACAGAGCGCATCGTAAGTTAATATCGAACCAACAGAGTCTCCGACAAATGATATTTGTCCAGCAAATCCACGACCTTCATCCGATTTTATAAATTCTCCAAATACTTGATTAGCTCCGGTGATAACTTTTGAAACAGCATCTTGATAATCCGAAGATGAACATGCCAACAGTGGGATTGATCCTATTGGAATGGTGTCATTTGTAATTTGTGGAGAGTCAACACAACAGGGTGATACGTCAAAACTGTAAGGACTTAAGCTGGATAGTATTCCCAATCCCTCGGTACATATTGATGGACATGAGACAAATCTTACAGCAATATGTCCAACCATACTGGGATAATGTTGACGCATAACAGATTCAAAGGCACCGCGAAATGTTGTTATGTCTGATTTTTTAGCAGATAAATCAACATTGGCATCCAGGACACTGCCGGCATGCATAACTATCAGTAATACCGTTGTTCGGCAGGGCTGGTGCGTTGGTGAGTGTTGAGGTGAAGCTGGGCATGATAAATCTATACTCGCTGACGGACGTATGTGAAGTCTTTTACCACTACGCTCACTGGCGACTCGCTGCAAGTATGAGTGGGAAAATATACTGTCGTCATGCCTGCTGCTTGAAGATGATACTCCAGCTACTGATGCTGTTGGTACTGAAGGCGACAGGGAGTCTTCTTTGTCCGTCAAGAGGTCCAACGAGCTCCACTTTGCCAGAGATGTATTGTCACCAAAGTCTTCTGCTTAATAAAAAATAGTATCATTAGTCTTTATTTATATTCTTCTTACTTTTTAACTTTTTAAAGTATATTATTATTATTATTATTATTATTATTATGAAGACATGGATAATTATTTGACCACTTAAGCGCATGCTCGTGCGATCTAATTGACCTACCTGTGCGTATCTCAGGTACAACTATTCCAGCGGCTGTGCGAGAGAACAAAAAAAAACACAGAGAAAAAAAAAATAAACAAAGAAAAATACATCAGGCAAACTAATAAGAGAATCTTCTCTCGTGCTTTATCGATCAATGAGACACTACTTACAAAAAATATATATTCCATTTATTCTAAACAATGGCTATGTTCTTACCACCCAAAAGTGCTGATAATTAATTAATTAAATCCAATTTGATTATTATCTATGAATCATGAGTTAAACATATATATATAGAGATATACATCTATTCATTTATTTATTTATTTATTTATTTATCAAGTTATTTGATTTGCCAGACATACATTCAGAATGTCTGTCAGTTAAAGTAATAAAATGATATGTGAATGTAAAATAGACGATATCGATCGGTACTATTCAACGCCCATGCTTAAGCTTTTGCCAGAAACAATTTGATTGTAATGTAATTATAAATCACACGGTTGCTTACTTGCTTTCATAGAAAACTAGAGAGCGAAAATTGGACAAAAAAAAAAAAAAAACAATAATAAAATACAGTACCTTGGCAATCAAAAAATTCATCCTCGCTGCCTGATTCAGATTCACGGACGATACTCTCCATACGCCAATTAGCAATCTGGATGTCGAAGCTTTTAGCAGAACTCGGGGAGTGAATTGAATGACTGGTGTGCTTCCAAACTTTTTTAGTTTCAAATTTGTTAAGAGTAATCTTTGACCTAACGAAGATAAATAATTTAGCAAGTACTTTTAAAATTTTTGTTGTAAATAAATATTTTACCCAGGTGGTAAAACTGTAGTAGGAGAATCTTCAGGGCTGATATCACCTTCAGAACTACGAGCGGTATTAATAACAGGAATATCCGAAGGTTTACGAATAGACGGCGGACTTTGGAGATCTTCGTTTTTCTCAATGCTACCAAGAGTTGCAGCAAATGTTTTGGCAACATCAGTAGCTCCCTGTGGCGTCGCTGCTGGAGTATTTGAGTCACTGTGATTGTCCTCGTAGCCATCAATAGCCATCTCACCACGTTCAGCAGCTTCTGCAGCAGCCATTTTTCGCTGCAGTGCCAGTTGAGTCTCTTTTTCTATTTGTCTTATGTCTTCCATTGTCAAACCGATCCATTCATCTTGCCATGCCCACGCTTGACGGTGCGCTCGTACCATAGTTTTCCGTAATGCTAAATGTTATTGTTTTAATAACACATTGTCGTTATTATTAACATTAATGAATAAAACAAAAATAGTAACTGTAAGTAGATCATTAGAAGAATTCTTACTGACCCACATCGTGAATAAATTTTTCCAGCTTGGTTTGCATGCCCCAGTAACGGAACTCAACCCTACAAAGTTTATACGCACACATCAGTGACTTTCCTGAAGGCGTAGGTTGTGGTCTTCCCTAAAAAAAAAATACACCAGTTAATAATAAATAATTTATAACAATTATAATAATAATTATTATTATTATAATTACTTGAACTTCAGCCCAATAATCTTGAAGCCAATTTTCAGTAAGCGGTCCACGGCCTGTTTTTTGGGATACATACAGCAAAGGATCTTCCTCTTGGACATAATCACCACCAACAGGCTTATCCTTTACCACGTCAATAAAATCAACAATTCGATTACGCAAATCACTACCAGACAACTGGAATACATTTTCTTGATGCCCGTTATCTGGAAAATAGTACGTTTCTATTTCAACCGAAAATTTTTCAACAAACGGACACGTATATCGAGTTTTAGTATAAGGATAAGCGTTCCACGCTTCTTCTTGAGTCTGCAGCGCGGTTTTAGGTAACAAGCTCTTAAACCATCCAGGCAAATGACTTCCTACGTGATAAATTTTATGAGTATACTGTCCGTTTCCTCCGGGTCCATCTGTATACGGTTCATTAACTTTTATTTCAACTCCACTACCAACGCCCTTGCTTTCGTCTCTTGATTTTTTCTATTTATGAAAGAAGAAACGAAAAAAAAAAAAAAAAAAAAAAAAAAAAATATATATATATATATATATATGTATATTGAAAAAATAAAAATATTAACAAGTAAAATAACTTACAGCAATCATATAAAGTTGAGCGATTCGATACTCCTCTACGGTGAGAGGAAGTGGTATCCTATACTCTTTAATAAGCATTTTTTTTTTCCTTGTTCTTTTGCTCGTCGTTGTTATTTTTGTTACTGTTATCAGTCTAGCATTTCTGTAATAAAAAAATATATTATAAACTCAACAATACAATACATATTAAGTAACAATAAAAAGTATAAAAGTAATAAAGAAGCATATAAAGTGCATCAGCCGTGTCTAAACGAGTTTCTGCAAGCGCTTCTTTATGCTTGATACTTTTTTTAAAACCTATTTACCTTGTTCTACAATTCTACAATTAAATACACCAAATTGACCTCGTAATAAAACCGTAAACGTCGTTAAATTATTTAACAATACTAAAATATAATAAATTCATAATTTTCACACTGATTAATTAATTATAATTAGCACGAAGATAATGATATTATTGATAATGTTGATAATGATGGTGATGATATGAATATTGATGGAAATGTAAATTAAATAATGGCGTTGTTGCCTATTTGAGGACACCCTCACGATTGCCGAGAAATCGCGCGTCTGATCATCCAGCGATCCAGCTCGTGCTAAAATTTTTTGTTGCGCTTGCGTCTTTTTATTATTATTATTATTATTATTATTTGTTGCTGTTATAACTAAAACTGAGTAAAAGCTCTTTGTCTGGTTCACTCTCACTCTATCACCCAGGGCGCTTATTCCACTGTGATGACAATGAACAAATGCGCCGTAGACTGTGATAAATCTAAAACTAAATTGTTTTATTAACGACCAGTAGAAAATATGAATGTAATTTAATATTAACCCAGCCCTAATTTAATTTCTTGTTTATTTAAATTTAATTGTTGGTTTCTTTTTATATTTAAGTATTAGTTTTTTGGCAATAACTATAATATCACCGTACCGGGAAATTCGAGCTCTCTAGTTATCTTTCTTCGCTATTGATCGGAGCTTTCCAGACGCGCAGATGCACCATGTACCATACACTTAAATGTGTACAGAGTACCGGGAAATGTACGATAATTTTTACTGGAATACACCAAATTCACCAGGGATACAATTACTTTTTACATTCTTTTATTTTTCTTTGCTCTACAATTCAGACCTTGACAAATAAATTTTCTTTAAACCCTGCAAAAATAAAACAAACACTACATTTATTAATTTACATTTTAATATATTTACCTATTTAAATTTATGTTAAAAAAAAAAAAAATATGAAAAAAGTTTGACTATTTTTTTTACTAATTAAATTTCCCGAGATTGATGAATAAATTTTTAAAATTTTATTTTACTTTATATCCAGTGGGACATTAAAATAATTTTATAAATTATTTATGAGCTTCTCTACATCTTTTCTCTATGTCGTAGTTGATCTTTGTTATTATTCCACCGATAATAACAGTAGGTATACATATATACTTTAATAAAAACCCGTAAATTTTTGCACGACGTCTCATCGCTGTAAAAAAATTTGTAAATTAATATTTACAACGATTTATTAAACTTTTTATTTTAATAAATAAATAACCTGATGAAGGTTTGCATAACTCTGCAAAAGTTTTAGAGCTATCGCTACTTTTTGGTGGAAAAAATTTAGCAATTTTCAAATTGTTGTTATTATAAATATTGTAATTATTTTCATTACAAGGTTTATCTATGTTATTTTTATCGTAATACTTAAATCGATACTGTCCGCAATATTTGATTGATAATTTTAATGATTTATGCATTATTTAATTTCTATTTGGGGATTATTATTTCTTCAGGTATGAATTTTAGTAAATATTATCCAATAGAGATACCTTTGAAGTGTTTCAAGGCTGAGATTACTTACAAAATATTAACCAGAACCTAAAAGGAATAAAAAAAAAGTTGATAAATAATTTTTTTTTTAAATGTTTATAGAAAATAAAAATTAAATATTGTTAAATATAAGTGAATAGATGCGCAGTAACCTTTGACATTTAAAGTGGATGAGAGTGAGTAGATAGGTCAAAGTCTCTTATCCTCCTTAAATCCTCCGTACTCTATACTCTATACTCTGGTATTTTGCATTAACAAAATAATACCAAAACGTTTACGAGCCATTTCTCTCATATCAGCCTTGTTCTTGCTTATAGACATATATATATATATATATATATATATATATTATTATCCTGTGTATGATGACCTTTATATATCGGTTAAAAAACGTGACATTTATTTTTATCAACTCTCTATTATTTTTTACTCTCTTAATTTATCTTGTTAATTTTTTTATTTGTTTACTTGAACAATACGGAGAGTATAAATCAAATTTTGATCAAAAAGATTGAAAAGTACAGGTGCGACGAATTACCGAACTCCGAAAGGATATAATAAGATAAGAGTACATTGGAGAGGAGTTACAAATTTAATTTAAAATCAAGCGCTCGAATAAAATCAATTTTGGCATTTGTCGCGTCGTTCATATGACGTCATTTGGAGAAAGACCGACGTTCTGACGTCAGAACTTTGACCGATGTTATATATATATATATAGATTTAGATTAAATCAGGAAAATCCGCTTACTATTTATTTCAAAATTCATTGAAATCTCGGCACTTGATCTTTTTAATTAATTTAATTAGCCCAATCTAAAACAAAAACTATTATAAATGTAGTAAAAATTATAAAAAAAAAGTTTTTTTTTTCTCTTTTTATGATGATTTTTAATTTCAATCTGCAAAAAATTGATGCAAATAATAGTACAAAGTCTAAAGAGCAAGTATATAACATTCAAATTATTTACATAATTATTATTATTATTATAGGTATGTACTGCATACTTATAACAATAATGGCAACAAAATAAAATTCTTTCCCAGCTGTCATAAATAAACTTATTATAAAGAAGTATGAGTATGTTTATATAAAAAGTAAAACACGTGATGTACGTTAAATTTAAATTTAGTTCTGTAAAATAAACAAAGTTTATTTATATATCTATATGTACTTACTTATAGGCATTAATTTATAAATTTAACCATTTATAAAGAATGAGACATAAATATTGACTGGTCAATTTAAAAAAAATTATTAAAAAAAGTAGCAATAAGCCATAATATATTATATATAATTAAATACCGGTACAATACCTGAGTAAAAAAATTCATCAATAATTATAAATGTACTCTGACAAAAATTTATAATAAATCATTAAAAATTGCAGACAAAATAAGCATAAGGTCATTTTTTTTTTATATTTTGTATGTACATCTGTATGAGAGATGACAAATGACAGATGACATATATGATTAAAGATTAAAATGTAAATATAAAAATTTAAATTAGTCTGTATGTACACACCCAATTAATAAATTTAGTTTGATCTGTCATGTCTTTCCACAGCTCTTCCTCGCTCGAAGACGTATTTGAGACCGCGAATAACACAATTATCTAATTCAAAGTACTTAACACTCATTAGATTTAATATTTTAAAAAAAAACGCGAGATTTTATGACTATTAACCAATGACGACATGTGTTGCTATATGTCTTTTCTACTTGTAAGTGTATAAATAAACACAAAACCATGCACACACACACACACACTTGAGTTTTATATTAAGAAGAAATGTCGTGGCGCAGTGACCTCTTTCATTAGAATTTCAAATTAATTCCGCGGGAATTTTTGAATAACAAAAAATCTGGAGCAATTCAAAATATTATTAAGATTAAATAGTAGACGTGTAAGATGAAATATACAATAAGAAAGTAATAAATAATTATTGAAAAGTAATAAAAGATTGATTTTTATCTAAATACAATAAGAATTGATTTCTAAATACAATAGTAGTGAATTGTTGATGTAAGGATGGGTGGTGAGGGTAGTGAGCATTGTGAGCATGGGCAGTGGATACAATACACAAATAATTTCTCAACTGTTTGCCACCCACCCTAAAACGCCCTATTCTACTAAATCTGTGCTATGAATCATTTTATAAGACTAAAATGTTTATATATACACTAGTAGTAGAAGTAGAAAGTCATGCATTGAGTTTGCTGTACAATATAACTTGTTATGAGATAATTTTAATAAAACTATCAATTAGTTTTATCGGTACTAATCTTCAGTCCTAAAAAAAATATAAACTCTGCAAAAAAATTAAAAATATATTGTTAAAAGTTAAAAATTAAGATGACAGAAGTCAAAAAAGATGATATTGTTAAAATTCTTCATAGTTATCCGTTCTGTCGAGTAAGTACTATTCAATATTTGGGTAAATAAAAATCAATAACTGGTTATTATTGATTTAATTTTTTCTTCTGTATTTTCTAATTGAAAATACAATTTTAATCATTTTTTTTTTTTTTTTTATTACAGAAAAGTGACATGTCTGATGAGATGAAGCAAGAAGTGATGGAATTATGTGTCACAGCTGCTGAAAAATATGCAGACAATTACGAAAGTGTTTCAAAAATGATAAAAGAGACGATGGACAGAAAGTTTGGGGCTTCCTGGCACACCGTAGTAGGAGAAGGATATGGATTTGAAATAACCTACCAGCTCAAACACTTGCTTTACATGTACTGTGCGGGAAATTTAGCTATTTGTATATGGAAATCAGCTTAACATTTATTTTATAATTTTTTTTTTTTTTATATTAAACCAAAGATTATTATACTGACGAAACAAAATTAAATTACTTACGCTACTTATAAAAAATTACCTCAATATGTACAAACAGATATTACGCAATTTAATGTATAAATATATTTACTAATAAATTTATTAAAAATTATTTATTGATATTTATTTCAAACAGTTCGCCAAATAAGTATAGCAATATTTCCACCTGTAAACATATATAGCAGCGTATTTTGTTGATGGATAATATGAAAACCATATGACTCGCCGACAACCACTTGAAAAGGAGCTCCAAATTTTTTATCAAGATTCTCCTTGATCATTTTAGCTGCATGCTCGTAATTATTTGGATATTTTTCCGTGGCTGTCACACACAAGTCCATTGTTTCTTGTTTCATTTCATCCTCTGTCATATCAGTCAATTTGCATAAAGGATGAGTGCGGATAACTTGACTTATTTCTTCTTTTTTGACTTGACCAAAAGACATTTTCCAGTATTGGATTTATTAAAAAAATATTTTATGATTATTTATAATAGCTTTTATTATACACGTGCAATAAATATTCTTTTGTTTTACATATGATATTTAATTAATTAATTAATTATAATTGGCACGATAATTTTTTAGTTAAAAAAAAAAAAATTATTATTATTATTATTATTATTATTATATAACAAACGTTATCATGGTAAAACGTTATTAAAATATTAAAAATTCCAAGACACGCAAAAAAGAAAATACGAAAAAAATTTATTTATAGAAGTAAATGATTATTATTATCCTTTTGACTAATTGCACTTGGGAAGGAAGAAAAGCAATTAGAATGCTTATATCAACTACTCAGTCTCTGTTAATATTTTTGTTTCCGTATTAAATTCATTTATAGTAATTAATAAAATAATAATAACTTAAAAAAATGATATAATAGTAGTAATATCAGTTTTTGTAATAAGCATGCGCATTATTAAATTTTAACATTTAATTTAATTATCTTTCGACTATAATGATTGAAAATGAGTCACCAGGAGTTTTGTCGCTTTGGCAATATCGTAGGCACAGCAGCGTACCTGTTGAAGACAACGTTTCGTGTGCTCGGAGTCACCTGTGCAACGCTCAAGACTTACACACTCTGTTTGTAATCTTCCTGTATTTCCGTTCAACTGTCTCAGCGCTGTCCTAATATTTTCATCCAATGAACTCTGTTGTAATATTTTAAATAAATAAGTAATTAATTATAATAAACTCATAATATGTTTATAATTATAATATAAACCTGTGAAAATATAGTCGTCAATTCTGTAACAGCAAGACGAATTTTTTCAGCGCATGGCACAAAATCTTCTTTGTGAGTAGGATCTTGCATTGCCATCCAAAGTTCTTGGATACCTTTAGTTACTTGGTCTGTACAAATAGTCACTTGATCCCTCGCTGGTAAATTTATTTTTTGACATTCCCAAATTTTTTGATCAATATTCGACCGAGTTTCAACCTCTGGAAGCTCATCTTCTCTTTTCTTAAAAAATAAATTAATTATTAAACACTAATTTAATAAATTTATAATGAAAAATATTATAAAACTCACTGAGACATTCAACAAGCCAATTTTTTTCAATCCTTGTCGTGTTTCATACATAGATACAGGTCTTTGATTTCCACGTAGCTGTGATTTGGTATCAATAGAATCTAATACCGATTCTTGTTCAACATCAGTGTGCCCATTCACAGTCTCATACGATTGTGGAAGTTTTGGCTTGACATATATATCAATAATATTTTTTAGCTGCCGATTTTCCAAGGTAAGCTGCTGAATTGTTTGTTGGAAATTTTGAATTTCATCGTGGAGATTTTTAATTGTTGACTCGGATACATTTAACTGCTTTTTTAGAACTTGAATTACAGCAGGATGGCTTTTGCCTGTTGTTCCAACTGCCTTCTGTTGTATAATAATAAATAATAAATTAAAAAATATTAGTTTATGAAATTTATGACATGGATGTATGATTTACATTACAAAAAAAAAAAAAAAAAAAAAAAAATGTCTGATAACATGAATGAGTGTGAATTTAGAGTATCAACTCACAGAATGTGAATTTGTTTAAAGAAAACCTTGCTGAAAAAGTTTTTATTTGGCTGTGTGATAGTGGTCAGTGCGGGTAAAATAAATATAGGTATTAAAAAATAATAAATATCCTCTCATGCATTTATAATGGAGGTAATAATTAAAAAAAAACACCGAAAGTTCTTTGTTGTAGCACTTGCCTAAAAACATTGTCTACAGAAGAGCCACGTGCTAAGTTGTTTCCTTAATTTTTGTTTTCCTGATACCTTTAATCAGCCGACAATAACACCACGCAATAATAATAATAATAATAAACTAACTCTTTTTAAATTTTAAAAAACAAGTGTATAAAATTCTAAAGCTAAGTAATTAGTAATTAGTATAGTGATTTAAAATAATAACTACAATGATGTTAGTCTTAGCAAAGATTAATTTTACCTCATTATTGTTGTTAGGAAGCTCTTGGTTGGTGTCATTCCCTCCAAGCTCATCATCAGATGCCACGCTGTCGTACAACGGCTCGTCGTCAGATGTTTGTGATCCGCAATTTTTAATAGCACGTTCTTTTTTAAGCGCCGAAACAGTTGGATCTAAATTTAAATAAAAAATAAATAAATAATTTAAAAAATAATAATGAATTGATTAAAATTAATACCTTGAAGAGGTGTGCAATTAGCTTGCATATGACGACGTGCAGTTTCAGTAAGAATGTCAACAATCAGTGTAGCAAACTCTTGCGGCATAAATCTGGCTAATTTTTGTCGTCCTTGATTTCGTGTTGATGACAGATATGGATTTACTGGTAGAAAAGGTACAGCAGTACTCCTTTCATGAAGAGTTGTGCTTGATAGCCATACTAATTTTGTAAATTTGAAATAAAAATTAGTTAAAATTAAATTGTAAGAAAGTAATAAAGTTGATGAATAGCTGAAGCTAATTGTGGCTAATTTTCTAATCTATTTTTCTACTGAGTATAATCTAAAATTGTTATTTATTCTACTCACCGGTCCTTTGTAGCATAATAAATGAAAAAAAAAAAAAACAATCATGCAAATTAATGAGGAAAAACAAAACAGCAATGACAAGTGATAATATTTCATTAAATTTTATGACAGAGACTAATAACAATGATAAAGTTACTCTATTATTTTATTTTATGACTTTTATGAAATTTAGACTACAAGGATTAATAAAATTAATAAAAAATTTTTATGTATTAACTATAATGTTTATAATTAATTTATGACTGTCAATTAAGTTTTTAATTAATAAACACATATAACTTGAATTGTAATAATAATAAAAATAATATACTAACCAGCTTCAACTTCTCTTCTGTCAACTTCATCGTAAACATCCATTGTTAATTCTTCCAGTAAATTATTTGGCAGCATTTGAAGGCGATTACGCGCTTCATTGGTCAGTTCATTTCTTTCCAGTGTTTCAGACCATTCCGGAATAATTAAATGCTCAGTTGTTCGATGATCTGGCTTACGTGAACATATAAAATAAGTCAATCTGTCAGTAACTTGATACATACACTCAATTAATCTGTCGGATAAATCCAAGTGTCCTGTTATTCTGAAATATTTCAATAAATTTAGTATTTGATTATAAATTAAAATATTATAAGTTATTATACCGAGCAATTTCAGCTGGTGTGTGGCCAGTAGAATCAACAATATTAGGATTTCCTCCATTAGCGATTAACAATTCCAATTGAAGTGCCTGACCAGCTCTGGCGGCAACATGAAGTGGAGTTGTACCTTTTTCTTTGTAAAAATAGTTTGGATTACCTCCTTGGACTAAAAGCCGAAGAGATGTTTCCAAATTACTGGTTCTTACACTACTGTGTAATTGTTTACTCAGTTCTTCTTCGCTGCAAGATTCGTCTTTGCTCGGCCGTAATACAAATGTCAATTGTTGATGTTTTGCACGAATAAAATCTGCTTTTACTGGACTGTAATAAATAAATATATGTAAAAATTATCCAAATATTTAATTTAAAAGATATTAATGTATCTTACTAGAGTGGATCTTTTGGCTGTGGCTTTTTACGATTTACTTTTGAATTATTTGAATCATGGAGTGAATATTCCCATATATTATTAGCTCCATTGTCATTTAAAGTGTGTACCATCTACAAAAATTATTAATAATTAATAAAAAAAAAAAAAAAAAAAAAAAAAAAAGTGTATTGAAACGTACAGTAAGTAAATAACTGCTCCAAAATCCTTTGTGGAGAGACTTAACATGTGACACATGTCTACCAAGACTTCTATGTATACTGCAGCACTCGTCACATAATAAAATAGCTCGATTTATTGATGCCCATCCCGGTTCTAAAAGATTAGTTTTGATAATTTGATTACTTTTGATAAAAACAAAACAAACATTCAATAAATTAATAAATAGATTTAATTATTTTTTACCTAGAGCTCCACAGTCAGCACAAATACTAGATGTTGATGTTTTATACTTGGGCCGTGACATTTTAATTTTACTTATTTTTAAAACAAAGTTTTTATAATTTTTTTAACAAAAAACTAAATTAGCACAATAAGTACAATATATACAATTACAGATAAAATTTATACATTTTTGTTTAAGCTACTGTCGAAACAACAAGAGTAATGATGACAAAAAAAATATCCCCTGCCAGCTGAGAAAAGTATTCAGCTGCCTTAAGATCCTTATTAGTACAATAATATATAATAACAGTCAGTCAACAGATATTTTTTATTTTTTTCTTTTTTAATTGTGTATCATTGTTGTGGATGTATGCACACAACATTTATTATACATGTGTGCGCGTCTGACAGAAACAAACACTACCGCCATCTTGTTTTTTTTTTTTTAACTGTAGCTATAACTTGTTGTTGTTAATATAAATTCCTGTATACAACAATTAGAAATAATGCACAAATAATTATAATTATTGAATACTTTTTTAAATAATTAATAAAAAAAAAAGAAATGACTGTCAATGACGTTTAATTTTACAAAAGTATGTTAAAAAAATTCAAATTATATTATTTTAAATTATTTTCTTCAGTAAAAAACTATGATTTAAAATAATTAATTAATTATTTATTAAATAAAATTAGCAATATTGATTTTAAATATTTCATAGCGTTTGTATGACCTATATCATTTCAATTAAACAATAATGAAGAAAGAAGAATGCATTTATCAATATATATTGATGAGTATTCGATTTTTAATTATTTTTGTAGATAATATCCTTTAAACTGTAAAAAATATATTATAAAAAGAAATATTAACTGTGCAATTTATTATCAGATCACCTTACAAAGTTTTAAAAAAATAACGATACATATCATATTACATATTTTAAAATATTTTTTTTTTTTTTGCTTTTTATCACCAGTAGTAGCCATGGTGACAAGGATTGTACACATAACGTGTAAAAAAGCAAGTGGCCAATTAGCAAATGGGAATCCCCACGTTCTCCATAGTATCAGTATATCCTGGGACTGGACAGCAATAGAGAGTTTAAAGGGGTAAAAGCTAATCGATTTCCTGCAAATTTTATTGTTCCCAGAGCTTTTTATTATCATATGCTCAGTCTTCAGACCTGAGAGTTATTGTTAACACCTGGCTTTAAAATAAAATTATTCAAACATGACAGTAGAATCCTGTGCAATGGCTACGGTCAAATATCTTCTTTTTTTTTTCAACGTTATTTTTTCGGTAACTTATTATTTCTTCTATGTTATCAAAAATTAACAAGTTTACCATAAAATAAATTTTGTAGGCTGCTGGACTTGGAATATTAATCGTAGGATGCAAGATTTTAGCAGATGTTACCAATTACAATCACTTTATGGGAGGAAGAATACTGGCTCCAGCCATCGTACTGATAATTATCGGTATGATCGTCTTCGTGATCGCTTTTCTAGGCTGCTTTGGAGCAGTCAAAGAAATACACATCTTACTTATCGCAGTACGTATCTTATAATTCTAATTGATATTTAATACACAATTTTAATTATTAAATCATTATAGTTTGGAGTTGCTTTGCTGACTATATTTGCAATTGAGCTAGCAATCGGTATTGGTATCGCTATTTTCCAGTCTGACGTTTCTGATTTATTGAGAACAACTTTGAGAGAGTCATTGGTTACATATGAATCCGAACCAGACAATAAAGTTGCTTGGGATTCCATTCAAACTTATGTTTGTTATTTAATTAATTAATTAATTAATTCATTTTTTTTTTTTTTTTTTTATCAACAGTCATTAATTTTAGCGTATTACAGTTCCATTGCTGTGGTGTAGATTCTTCAGATGACTGGGAAGAATCTTTGAAAGAAAAACTTCCGTCGACTTGTTGTTATAGTAATAATACAGACCCTTGTGAAAAAGGAAACCCTTTGATAAATCCGCATGGTTGCTACCAGACTCTTTTGAGACAGATCAGAACTAATTCCGAATTACTTATTTGGCTCGGAGCTGCAATTGCTCTTATTGAAGTAAGTTTTTTCATTAATATTTATATAGTTGTATTATGGATTAAATTTTTTTTTATCTTGGATAGATAATCGGAGTGATGTTGGGTTTTCAACTCGCAACATCCATTAAAAGACAAGCAGCGGCATCAGCATAGAATGACTCACGTAATGTGTGAATTGTTGAATTTTTTTTAAATATTTTAAAGTTATAAAATGTGTGATATTTATTAAATCTCTAGTGATCATTTTTTATTCATATCTCAATAAATTGTGTGATAAAATTATTTTACGCTTTATATGTATATATAAAAAAAAAAAATGCTTAATATATATTTATAAATTATGTGTAATGTTTTTATTATAATAAAAGTTTTGAATATTTGTGAAAAAATTTCTTCTATTATATAACATTATATCATACATTTAATAATCTCAGTCATTAAAGTTCATTCGCATCAGCATCATTATTATTATTATTATTATTAATATCATCATTCATGTGGTAATTGACATTTATTTGTTAGAATGAATTTATCTTTGATAAGACCATTATTGTGATGAGCTTTGATAGACGGAAATTGAATTAATTGAGTTTATAATCAACTGAATTTGTTTGAAAAATACTACCTTTTTCTTTTTCTTCATTGACACACTTTTATTTTAAAATAAAGTTTCATTTTTTTAAAAGTATACCAATGATTTAATTGTAAGTAAAGTCTGAAGGTGAACTAGTTAGTGACGGCATTATATACATAACAACTTGAGATGCTAAAAAAGTATAAGTATTTTATGTATCTAATTAATTTCCTTGTATAATCCTTCGAGAATTTACGCAGTTATTTAGAATAATCATGTAATATATTTTTATTGAATAATATTAGATAAAATTTTTCAATTATTAAAACCGAAATTTTCCGGATATAATTTGAATTAGAATTCTATTCAAGGCTAAAAAAAAATAAAAAGCTTTTGAAATTAAATGTTTATCTTATTGCGGAAGCTTTTGAATGCGTAGTAAATAATAATAATAAAAATAAATGAACTGACGATGCGCTCATTCGTTCTGACGAGCTTTGATTACTATAAATGCAAGTAGGGTGGTTTATTAATGCAAATCATCAACAATAAGGATTAGATTGAGAGAAACGAGTTGGTGTTGAAAGATGAGAGACGAGGGGATGAGGTACACTCAGGTCTACTCATCTACTCATATAAGAACATCGTAACCGGTAGATTTTTATTCATTCTGTTTTTATCTGTAAGACCTGTTGTACCTCTCGGTTGGTATAATACTTTCACTTTATATTACATACATATCTTGCTTTTGCTTGTTATTTTTATTATTGTTTCAAGTGATTATTAAATTTTATATTATCGATTACTTTAAATAAATATTCATTTAAGTTAGACTTAAATTGGTAGTTTTATCCTCTATAAGCTTAGAGATTATCAAGTTTTAAAAAATAAATAATAAAATTATCAGTGTTTATATTTAAATATCTGTGAATGTCAAGTATTCTAACAATAAATGGATCGATATTTCCTGGGAAATTTCGAGGTCGATTTGCACGAGTGTGACAAATAAAATAACAATTAGCACGACATGTCTAACGCTAGATAAAATGTTTTAAATTTAACAATACTAATAAATTTTTTGTTTTAGCAATAAAAAAAATGAAATCGTCAATTGTGTTACTGCTGGCTTTTGCTGCAGTAGCGGTGAGTAAAGATATTGTTGCTGTTGTTAAGCTTATGCCACATGACATCACCAAATTTGTCACTGGAAATCTCAAATTCGTTCAAAGCAATCCCACTGGACCTGTTACTATTACTGGAACAATAAATGGACTCACTCCGGGTAAACATGGGTTCCATGTTCATGAAAAAGGAGATCTTACAGACAACTGCACTACTACTGGCGGACATTTCAATCCAACAAATGTAAAGTATATTAATTATCTTTGTTTAAATAAATAATAATAATAATAATTAATTAATTAATTATTTTAGCAAGCTCATGGAGCGCCAACAGACACTATTAGACACGTTGGAGACCTTGGAAACATTGAAGCTACAGCTCAAGGTGTTGCCACTGTAAACATTGTTGACAAAATGATCTCTCTGTCTGGACCAAACGGCATTATTGGACGCGCTGTTGTTGTTCACTCGGGTGTTGATGATCTCGGTAAAGGAGGTCATGAATTGTCCAAGACAACTGGAAACGCCGGAACACGCTGGAGTTGTGGAGTCATCGGTATTATGTAAGCGGAATACATCAGCAAGGAGCTATATTTATCTTTGGATAACACTAAAAATTTTTAACTCTAATGGCTTTACTCTACTATTTTTTTTTTTTTTTTTTTTTTTTCTTTTACATATTATTTGGAAAATTAATTTTAATTACTACAGTCTTAAACGCATTATGGAGATTTTTATTCATGTGATGAAACATATATAATTATTGTATATTGAAGAATTAAACCATCTCATTATTATGTATACAAAAAATTGTATTAAAGTAACTAAACGTGTATAATATTTTTCTCATTACTGTCATATGGTTGAATGTTTAAAATAAATTTATCTCCTAGCATTTAATTTTGACTGTTGTTGTATGTCTAATAATAATAATAATAATAATAATAATAATAATAACCAATAAATACAGATATTAACTTGCATAATCAAACAAATTTCATTTTACCAGTAAACCTTTTTATATTGTGATTGAAATTCAATTGGAGTTTACAGTAAAAGATACTGTCTGATTTAATTTAATGAAAATAAAGTTAGCCGACATCTAAAAATTTTTTATTATTAAAGAATTATTACAAAAAAATTTTTTTCATTTGTTAAAAACTTGAAAAACTATCAGTGCAATTTTTTAAAAATATTTTTTAGTTATAAATTAATAAAATAAGCAAAATAAAAAAATCAAGTCGGCTAACTTTATTGTTTTAATTTAATTATTGCTCCGACATTGATATATAATAAAATGCATGCTTGAAAATATCTAATACTAAATCACATATTTTTTTATCTGCAATTAGGTGTAATTGTGCACTTCATTATCTCACCAAGTTTTTAATTTAATCCAGAATCCCTGAAACTTGATTATCGTGTCAATAACATCCTGACACTTTCACATTATTTGCTTGTTGATCAGCTGTCACTTGTAACCGCGCAATTCATCACATGGGGGGGGGGGGGAATGTGTCACGTGGGTGCGCGCCGCCATTATTGTGTTATTTATTAAAAAAAATTGCAGGTGGCTCCACTGTTCAGTCACATTGCAAGAAATGAATTTAAAATTTTTATCCCGCGTGTTGAAATGTGAGTTTTAATTAAAACTTCATTGCTTGAAATACAATATTGATTATTCCTTAATTTTATTATAATATAAAGGTAATAACAATAATAATAATAATTATTATTATTATATCTTTTAGAGTTTTGGCAATGAAGGATGTTCTGGCGTACCGTCAACAGATCACAATATTTTAAATTTGAATAATTTCATCATTATAATAATAATTCCCTTAACTATTGAAACTACTCAAGCAATTAATTTTTAAAATGACAGGTTATTCATTGTAGTAATTTCTAAATTTAAAAAAGTAAGTTGCGTCATTCATAACAAAAAAAAAACCCCCCGTTCAAACAAAAATACAATTTGAACATTTGTGTAATATATTTATAACATGTTATATAACATATTTATGAGATACATATACAGAGAATGGTCTATTATATTTAGTTATTGTGTTCCGATAAATGGAGTGAGACAGCTTTAGTCTGCGAATAATAGTTTGATATAACACATGCACACACCAACACATGAGAAGAGAGTACTTGAGTGAATTTATCTTTGTATATTGCACCCGATAAAAGGAATATGCTGAATAAAAGGCATCTAAAGTATTATTATTATTATTATTGTAAACATTTTAGATTCATTTCTTCATCAGTCTATTCAGAGTCTCGATCAGCTCTCTCTTCTTGATTTTAATTTATCTCAACATAATTGCAGACTTAAAAAGTGCAAATAGTTGCCAATTGACATGCTCGAATTTAAAGATAAAAGTTATTTAAGCAGCAATCCCCAATAAAATTTCTTTAAATTCAGTATTTACCGGATACTCGGCAAGAGCGGTTCATTTTGTTCATTCGCTGCATCACGGTTATTGAATAATTGACTCATTACTCATTACTGATTCAACTGGTGCCATTAACGTTTCTCACTGTCGCTTTAAAAATTTGTTGCGCTCTATTACGATATTTGTATTTTAAATAAATATTTTTAGTTTTAAATATGCCTAATGGGGGTAAATTGGTCTTAGGAATAGATTTGGGCACCACTTCAGTTAAAGTTATTATCTTATCGACGGAAACAAAGCAAATAATCGCTAAGCAGTCGAAAGAACCCCAGGCCAATGTGCCAAGTGATCTTGGAATAGAAGGTAATAAACAGGATGTACCAAAAATTTTATCTGCTGTTCATAACTGCGTTTCTAGGCTGCCTAAAGATTTACTCAGACAGGTATTTACATTTTTTTATTATTTTAATTTAATTGAAAATTTAATTTGGTGAAACTCTCTTGATAATAAATCCTCATACAATTTTCTAATTCTAAACATTATTTAAACTGACAGTTGGAACAGTGCCAACACTTGAGGAACTTTATATGCCTATAAATTAAAAAAAGAGTTGTTGTTGTTTTTTTTTAAAAAATTATTTCATTTATTTTAATGGCCGTAAATGTTGCAGTTAATTAAATTTTAGTTGTAAATGTCAGAAGAAAATAATTTTTATTATCTAAAAATAATGTACTAGGTAAAAAGCATAGGAATATGCGGACAAATGCACGGCGTTGCATTGTGGAAAACAACCGGATCCCCGGAAAAAGAAGACGGTACATTCAAATTAGAAATAGACCGGCAAAGTGTATCTCATTTGTATACATGGCAAGACGCACGATGTGATAAAAATTTTTTGAGTACATTACCGCAATCAAAAAGCCATTTGCCAGTGCATACGGGCTTTGGATGTGCTACTTTATTCTGGTTCGCTCGCAACAAGTCAGTAGTATTAGTATTAATATTACTTTATTTTTTTAAATGATTATTTTAATTGTAATTTATTGATTGTAGGCCGGAAAAACTGCAAAAGTACGACCGGTGCGGTACAGTTCAAGATTTGCTGGTGAATTTATTGACTGGAAGCGATGAAATCACTATGAGCACCCAGAATGCTGCCAGCTGGGGCTACTTTTTGACTGATCAAGCTAAATGGGAGACTGAGTTGATGGCTAATGCGGGATTTCCAGTCAACTTGTTACCCAAGAGTATTCTAAAACCCGGACAAGTCGCTGGGAAATTAAGACATCCTTGGTTTGGAATTCCCGCAGGTGTTCCTATAGGTAATAATAAATATTGTTTTTCTAATTCTAAGATTAATAATTAACTTAATAAATTTAATTAAAGGTGTTGCATTGGGCGACCTGCAGTGTTCAGTACTTGCATTATTGAAGGAACCTGACGAAGCTGTGCTGAATATTTCAACTTCTGCTCAGCTTACCTACGTTCATCCTTCTTTCGACCCCAATGATTGTCCAGAATCAGGTAAATATTTAAACCGTTGATCTGTATTATATATAAAATACTATTTAATTTTTTTCAGGTAGCATAGAGTACTTTCCGTACTTTAATGACAAGTATTTAGCCGTTGCTGCTTCGATGAATGGTGGAAATACCCTAGCGACTTTTGTCAAGACTTTGCAGCACTGGGCGATGGATCTAGGCTTCTCAGTTCCGCAATGTCAGTTTAATTTTTATAAAATTTAATTTTGTTTTGTTGCTTGATATATAATTTATGAAATAAAAAACAGCTAAAGTTTGGGAAAAGTTGATTGCATTGGGACAAGAAGAGTCTGCAGTAAGTACGATGGAAATAGAACCACTTCTTTTGGGCGAACGCTACGACCCGGATAAAACAGCAAGTGTCACAGGAATAACGCTCAATTCTCTCAGCTTGGGGAGTGTTTTTCGATCACTTTGTTCTGGTGTAATCCGCAACCTTCATAAGTAAGTACTCTTTAATCTAATCACAGTCATCTTATCTCGTTGCATTAAAAATTTTAAAAAAGACAATTAATTAATAAAGTCAATATTAGTTTTATAAAATAAATAAATTAAATGTGAAAATATGAATATTTATTTTCAGTATGATGTCACAGGACTTGTTGAAAGCAAAAGGTATAAAACGTATAGTAGGAAACGGCTCTGGACTAGTGCGTAATCCAGTCTTACAAAAAGAAGTTACAAATTGGTACAAACTATCCTTAGAACTAGGACAATCCGGAGACGCAGCATTCGGCGCAGCCTTAGCAGCTCTCGCTTCAAATTAAATATACATTAATTTAATGATAAATAATAATAAGAGTAACTTATTGGTTAATCATCTCGATTCCACCTCCAGACAGTAGCGTCATCGCAGACACACAAGAGAACAGACCCATCACGACTCAAGCTGGTCTGTCTAATTGGTGCAGTACACCGAGGATGCTGCAACGAGAAACACCTAGCTTGGCCAGGCTCCTCGATATCCAGGTCCCAGACATAAGTTCTACCTACCTGGTTACCCAGGGCAATCGTTCGTTGCCAAAAGTCCATTGAGAACCTTATGAACCAGATATCACATTCTTTGAATTCAAACCGATGCATCACGGTCGCGCTGGTCTCATTGTTTCTCAATTGAGAGTCCTCCAAACGGCCAGGCTTCCAGCAGACGATACAATTTTCGCAGCTCTTGCTGAGAATAAAGTCCCCGTACCACTTGACACAATCAACGTAGTTCCTGTGAACGTCCCGGGTGGTAAAATCCGGAAAGTGCTGAAGAATAGAATCAAACGGACGGCTATTTCTCGCTGGGTTGCAAAAGTAAGACTGTTTTATTGCGTCTTTCATGTCCTGCTTCTCCAAAGACCACAGCTTTAGAGCGTGGTCCATCCCGCAGGAGATAATTCTTTGACCTTTCATATCAAAGTCTGCGCTGAGAACTTCGTCCCGATGGCCTTCAACGCCACCAAAGATCGCGATGCACACGTCTGTTTTTATGTTCCAGAGCCTCAAAGCGTGGTCCTTGGACGCAGACAGCAAAACGTTGGGATCTCGCGGGTGGATCTTTAATTCGTTTATCGCATGTCCGTGTCCAATGTATTGCTTGACACAGGTCATTGTAACTGGGCTGATAATCCTGATGACTCCTCTGGAGCCGGCGACGGCCAGTAAAGGTTTTCCCAGTTCGTCAAAGGTCCACGCGCAGGTGTAAAAGTTTTCCTCACTGTCTGGATCTGAGTAACACTGGAGCAGTCTGATGTTGGCCCCTTCAGGACACTCATAGATGCTCACCCGATTACTACCTACCGAGGCAAAGATCAGAGGTTCACCTTCCTTCAGGTGGTGGTTGAATTGGACTCCAAATAGCGGCTGACCATGGTCCTCTTTTATGCTACAGCAATATTTATACAGTGGCTTGTCATTAACTGGCTTGTTTTTTGTCGTCTTGCTGCGTCTGCGACCTTTCCTACGCGGCTTTGCCCCATTAGGAGTGTCACTACGGTGAGTTCCAGCAGTAGAGTTGCTTCCGATGCTGCATTCTGTCTCGTCGCTGTCGTTTTCACTTTCTTCGTGGCTTGAAGCGTATGCCGGAGCTCGAACTTTCTTCATTATTACCTTTTTATTCGGAGAGAATTAAAGATAAGTCGATGTTTGGACGACCAGATTGAAGATTCAAGATTCCGTGAGATAAATTAAGCACACGGTTGCCTAATAGCAGACAATTTTTTTCGTCCTGGAGTTATAATTATAGAATTTAATTTAGCATGATTTTTCTGTGATAGATTTTTGGGGAGAAAAAAAAAAAAAAAAAAAAAACAAAAAAAAAAACAAAAAAAAAAAAACCCCACTTACGTAGATGTTGACGTTTAAAATTCTTCGTATCAAAAATTTATCAGCAAGCACTCTAGTATTCCGGTGAGTTACATTGGTGTAAGAAGTTGGACCGTTACAGTAAACAAAAAACACAGCCCCGGTCGTTAGAAAGTTTTTGTCAATGTTATTTAAATTTTCCTCGGCCTAAAAACTACAAGTGAGGTTATGTTGGACTTTTTACTTTTAATAACTGCATATAAAAAAATTAATTACCTCGAGTACGCTGTGGCTGGTCTCTCCGTTGATTATCAAAATAATAAAATCAGTAGTTAACAACAATTGATCCTTTAAAACTTGAGTGATAACCTCGCACTGGTCAACTATTGCTCGTTTATTTTGTTTTCGCGCCGACTGATGCACGGAATTTGCGATTTTTTCACACAACTGCGCAGCTCCTACTATCTAAATAAAATAAAATAAATTATACATTATTTTGATGATTATAAGTTATATATATTTTTTAAATTAAAACTCACCAAAAATGTTAAAATTGAATTGTCACCGCGAACACCAGCGTCGTGGCCCAACACCGCAGCCATTTTACTTTTTATACTTTTACTCTCCCCATATTGGTCTCCTAACAACAACAACAACAACAATAATAATAATTTATTTTATCTTGTAGAGTTGGTAGACCTAACAGCCACGTGTTTATTGTTACTTTCTTTTCAATCGAGACAATTACAGTAGCTATTTACTCTCCGTACTGTCAACAACTATACAAGTGCTCTATGTGCTAAATTATTTATACTATACTTGGTTATCAATTTTTGGGTATTTAGGGTAAGTATAAAATAATTAAAAATGATTGTTGATTAAAAAAATAATAATAATTGTTTTTTTAGAAAAAAAAAAAATGGCTCACAAAGTAAAAATGTGGATCCCCGTGATCCTTGCAATTGGATGGTCACTTTATTTAAACGAATGGACTCGATCAATCACCGGTAAATTAATGTACGGTGATTATATTGGAGCATATAAATTGTATATGGGTGATACGGATAAATTATTTAGTAAAAGTGAATTAGAGAAATTTAATTCTCCGGAGAGTGGTTTGTACTTGTCAATTTTGGGACAAGTTTTTGACGTTTCTAAAGGAGAACAATATTACGGCAAAGGGAATACTTATCATGCATTCATAGGTAATACTCATTAAAAGTAAATAATGCTTATTATTAAAAATTACTTTTACTTATAATTAATAATTTATAAAAAAAATTGATAAAATGAGTGATAGTTGCATGAGCTTTCATATTTTCTATGACCTAAATAATTATCCGTTAAACATTAACAATAAAAATGAGTTTAAATAGTAAGCAATAAAATGTAAATGTTTAAGTTAACTGTCACAGTTTTTATTTTAAATTGCTGATACTGAAAAAATTATCGGTTATAATTATCAGGTTAATTGTTTAGTTTGTTTTTACATTTTATCACAAAAACAATTTAAGTGATTATATAATTTTAAAATTTATGTTAACGAGGTTTTACAAAAGAATATTTAATTTGTATTTTATTTATAAGGACGTGATGCATCGCTAGCCTTTATTACTGGAGACTTTAGTGATAAAGGATTGACTGATGACCTGTCAAGTTTGACAAACAAGCAAGCTAAGGCATTGGACAATTGGTTAAAGTCTTACCATGAGAAATATTTATTTAAAGGTATAGTATTAATTATTATTATTATTATTATTATTATTTTTATAATTTATTATTATTAATAAATAAATTGTTTAATAGGTAAACTGGTCGGTAGATTTTACGATCAGTATGCAGCGGAAACACCAGAGTACCATAAATTCTTGGCGAAGGTCTTGAAAGCCGAAGCTGAGGAATCGGAAAAAGACAAAGTCAATAAAATATTTCCTCCTTGTAATGTCGAGTGGAATCCCGAAGAAGGGACCAAGTTTTGGTGTACCAATCAAAGGTATTTTTATTCCCTGATAAATTGAAAACTATTCATGAACTATAATTTAAATAATTTTAAAAAATTTCATAAAAATTAACGCAATGTAATTTGTGTTTCAGTGGAGGAATACCAAGAGAATGGATTGGAGTACCAAGGCAGTATTACGAGAATCCATCTTCCCCACAAAATAGGTGTACTTGTGTCGATTTGAAAGGCCAAGATTATCTAAACAATAAATCCAACTTCCAAGAGTACAAAGACTGTGCTAAAGACGCTCCTGTGTGTTATGTTAAAAATTAACTTTCATATATTTATTTATGATAATTCAACTTTAAATTTTTAATTTAACGGACTTACGGTGATGGTTGAATTGAACTTTTATTTTTTATATTTTCTACGAGAATAAATAATTTATAATGTTTTATATATAATGTATGCGGTTTCATTCTCTCTTCTTATCTATCACAATATATCATCTTTATCTTTATCATCTCTCAGAGTGCAGTTGATGGTAAAGAAGACTTAAACATTTTCAAATGTGAATAGTAGAGAATTTTATTATTTATACTGATGGTTAGGTAGGCTTTATAAATTATAAATTATAAATAATTGACCGGAGCTGGGAATCCCAACAAAATATGTGATAAAGTTAGACAATGTCAAACGTTAGAAAACAATCCAACATGAAGAAGGAAAAAGAATTTAGCGATAAAATTTTTTTTTATATCTCGGAACATTCTTATACCTATGTTATTCTGTAGCATAAATTTAAAAAGTAAATTTTCTATATATTAAGTATTAAACTCTGTTGCTCTTGGAACTCATTTTAAATTCTCTTTCTGGGTTTTTCGTCATCTCAAAAACGAGATATCCCGACAATGGTGAAACCACAGTGATGCAAATTGCCTCCAGACGGACTCTCGGCTCGGCTGCTACCACTATACTACTGTATTCTATCTCCTGTGTCAGGAGCTGCACTTGTATAATAAAGTAAAATATACAGAGCTAGAGAACCGGGATCTCTCTGTTGTTGGTGTACCATTAACGTCTTGTCCTTGGTTCGTTGAATAAAGTTAGCCACGTCAGATTGGATTTCATTTGCTAGTGTTTTTTCATTTAAACCCTCTTTGCATTTATTTATTTTACCTTATTTTATCTATTTGATTTTATAAATAAAATACATTATTATTTTCAAGTATTGAGGATACTCGGTCCAATTAAATCAATAAGAAACATTATCATTTAAGTCAATCTCTTTGTTAATACAATTGTAATGGCCTGATTAATTGAAAACCTTTATCATTGAAACAAGAGAGAATTTTAATTAAAACTGGGCTTTCATCATTTTCATCCAATTAATTCAAACTTTAATAATGATTACAATAATTAATTTGTAATTATGAATTCTATCAGCGTGTTAAAATATAATAAATCTCATTATTATGTAAAACAAACCACTAAATAATTACTCGATTGTTATAATTTATTAAATTTAAATGATATGATAAGAAAATGATAAAAAAATTTTTACAACAACTAAATTAGGTATTGTAATGGGTTAATACTAACGGTTAACCATTCCAATGATAAATATAAACACATTAGATATAAAATATATAGAGAGGAGCGGATGAAACGAGGTGACGAGTAATAAACGGCATTGGAGTATAGTGCAACGTCGAGCAATATATGTGCTCAAGCGAGTGAAGCACGTCCAGTCTGTGGAATTAGTAGGAGTGTGTTGAAAGAAAAGCGTCCAGTATCCAGTATCCAGTAAACGAAAGAAAAACCTTTGGCAAAATATTAAGGATAAATTTTTCAATTTATTTTAAGCTATACTTTCAGATTAATCATTCATGATTAACTCTTTAATTTTTTATTTACATTTTTATTTTTTTTATCCAGGGAATGAGTTGTGAGTATGAGAGAAGTATTTTCCTCTCTATTTATCCGGTAATCCGAAGAATGCCAGACCAAAAAACTGAATTATTTATCAAATAGTTATAATTTGCATATATATTAGCAATTCAGTGGTGGTTGGTTTTCTCTTCTCTCTTCTGTGATGTCTCGTTGAGAATGGCTCAAGAACGTCAACTTGACGTTTAGATATGCACCGACGACCACAATCAGGTTTTACTCAACAAGAAATAGATACCTCTGTGTGATTTAAAAAAATCTCTTTTATTTATTCGATGCTTAAAAAAATAAATTTAAGATTTGAATAATGAATTTTGTTTAAGGAAGTAAAAAAATAGTTTATAAATGTGTAGTTAAGTAGCAAAGGAATTTTTTAGTGAGCCTGTATAGAGAGCTATTTTAGTTGTTGGTTGTATATAACGGTTGGAGATAACGGCGTAATAATATTAATAATAGGAAACGTCTCTTTGCAGGATATTAAACTTGCGTTGCCATCTAACCGCGAGAAACTTGAATCCAGACGCTCGAGGCTCTGGGGGAAACGCCCGATCCCGACAAAGAAGAACGAAGAAGAGAAATGAGAGAAAATGGCTCAACCCCCTGGAGTAGCTTTACGGGGGCTACCTTACCAGGATCAACTCGATTAGAATATGCGACTGTGAATTTACAGTGCAGGCTTTGAATTAAATGCTTTTTGTTATTATATATATATTATATATTATGTAAGCTGACAAAAAGTTTCTAATGTATACTTAATTACCGTAGAGTTGTAGAGTTGTATAGTTGTATAGTCATGAAGTAAGGAAATGCCAACAAACACCATCAAGAGCTGGGTTGAGTATCACCATCTCAGCATCAGTAACACCATCAACACCCTAATTTAAGTGCTGGTGTAACTTTCATTATGATCGCGGTACCGAGTTAATGGCCCGAATCACGGAGGCTGTTGTTGATGCTCCTGATATAAGAGCGAGCCAACCATACTCGTAATGGTTATGCCGTGCGTGCCGTATATAATTTAACAAACTTACAACTTGCTCCTTATGCTTATGCTAATGCATATGCCTTGTACTATTTTTTATTCCTTTTTACCCTCGAGCTTTTATTTTTATTTTATTATTACTAGCTAACCCATTAATGTTAAATTATTTGCAATAAAATGACTTTAAATCTGGACAATTGACACTTGATGATGAAACAATTCAATTCGACTAATTATAACATCAGAAAAATTATTAATTACATCTAGTACTCTCAGTACTCAGTATACCTCTCACTACTTAATTAAGGGTTTAAAATAAATCTAAATATTAATTTTAACAAATAGAAAATGACTCATTTTTAATTAGCAATAAAATAAGAGCCGAGTATAGTATAGTAAAATAGAGTCTGATTGTATTGATTGTGAATTAAGAAAGAACAAAAAAGTTATTAAAATGTAGGACAGAGTAAATCACGAGAGCGCATTAAATGAGTGACAAATAAGTAAGTCAGCAACAATGTCATCACACTCGCAATTCATCTTGACTCATCATCTTTCCATGTGTTGGTTGGTTATATGTGATGCTGATGTGTCAGAAAAGCTCTATTGTATGTACATACTCCGCGATTAGTAACGTGACATGTGATAATAGAGGAGTGGAATTCGTGAACATTGCCGCCAATGACTGTGCTAAAGATCTATTCGCGAGACGACATTAATTTTACCGGTACTAACGAGTACCATCTATAACTATACATACCACATGATGTCTAAAGCTTAATTAAGGATGAGATGAGGTTAGTAGAACGAGCTTACACACGTCTGCTCGCGGTAAAACAGATGGAAGATAAAAGATAAAAGATACGAGTGATGTCTGAGATGGTAACTCGGCATTAATTACTCCCGACGCATCGCTCTATCTAACTCTCTATCTATGCGAAATTCCATCCACCGAGGTAGAGCCAGCAGTCTACTCACCCTCCTTCTGTTGTTTTCCTATTGTAGAACTACCATCAACTCACCTTCTGCATCACCTACACTTTCTCTTCTGATGATAGTGATAGTGATAGTGATAGTGTAATAGTTCGCCAATCCTGCCCAAAGGCTACTATACGGAAAATCCTCTACTGTATGTCAACGCAGTGCTTTGTTCCTCTAAAACCTCCTCTTACTCTTATATTTTTTTTTTAATAAAAACAATAAAATAAATTTAGATATTTTTATATAGATTTATTATTGATTATTTATCGATAAAGTTATTTATTTACAAAATAATTCTGAGAATTCTATAATTATTACATCGTATTGTTAATAATACACTTATAAGTAAAACCTAACATTACATTTATAAATAAATTATTTTATTTTTTTATTATAATTTATAATTTATAATGATAAGTAATGAAATTTTTGAACAATGAGAATTTATTTACACAATTCTTTTTGTTCTGATAAAAACAAAATCACTAGCATTTTTTAAATAATTTATTATTTATTACATATTATATATAATACCAAAACTCTTATCGATAAAAGGACTTTTGATATTTATTATTATTATTATTATTATTATTATTGTTATTGTTATTATTAATATTATGGTAGTACATTTACTATTTACATTTCCACGTATTCTAAAACAATATTTTGTGGTTAAAAATAAATAATTAAATTTATGAAATAGGATTATGTGGCACGACAGCCAATTTAACTTTTAGTTTTACAGTATAGAGGTGTGCATAAAGTGTGTTAAATACAGTAAAGTTAATTTAGTTAATATGGTAATTTTAAAATGGCATTATATATATATTATTATTATTATTTTTTATTGGTTTTAGGATATTTAATTGTTCATTAAAGAACAAATACGAAAAATATTTACAGGGGAATCCCTCCAGGCATTTTTACTTATTATTAAATTATATACAAAAAATAATTAATAATAATAATAATAATAATAATAATAATAATAATTAAAAGGGGGGTAGAAGCGACTTTTTAATAAGCAGGGTGGTATTTAGATAAAATAAATAATAATAATAATAATAATTAATTTATTAGATTTGTTTGTCGGTAAAAGTACGATTGCCAAGGAAAATAATTTTCGGGATTTACAGTCTAAATTATTGCTGCATTAAAGGCGACAGGTCCTTGGCAACCTACCAGGCACTGATTTTTACTAAAATTCCAGCTATCGATAATTAAATTCGACAAATATTTTATCCTTTTTTTATTTCAATATTTAATTTAAGGTCACATTATAATAATAATAATAATAATAATAATAATAATAATAATAATAATAATAATTATTATTATTATTATTATTTATTTAATGTTTTTAAATTTTAGCCTTGAGGGAATCGCAAGACGATTAAATTTTGTACATTACGAATATTAT